TGGCGCTGTGGAAATCAACGGTCACACAGCTGGGGCGAAGGTGGCCGGTCGCCTTTGATACCTGACGGATCCACCCGGAAGGCCCCCGATATTATCGGACGGCCTCCGGCGCTGCTGTCTACCTCTGCCTAGCCTCACTCTGATGACGGAATGCCACCGAAAATCCCCCCTGTGAATTGTTTCGGTCATGTGTGATTTGGACGCTGTTTCGGAGGGCCGAAAAATGTGCGGAGGTGCCGAAACTGTTATAGAATCTCTCGGCATGAGTCCGGGCATCATGGCGCGACCAGCAAATAAAAATTCATATAACAATACCTCTATCATACGCCGTTGAAGATGCTTGTACACAGAGCATTTATCAGCATAATCATCAATATTCAAAATTTCCTCTTCCAAAATGGCCGTTTCAATCCCCCATTCGCTCAAAGAAAAACTCCTCCGTAACGAGGTGGCATCAACTCTTAGCGTCAAACTAGTCAAGTCGGTAGAGCTTCCTATGATGGCTAAGACCGCAGGATTTGACGGAATTCTCATCGATATGGAGCATTCCTCATTCGACCTCGAGACGACCTCCCAGTTATGCATTGCCGCGCTGTATGCTGGCATCTCGCCCATCGTACGCGCTCCGAGCAAAGATCCTTTCTTCGTCTCTAGAATTTTGGATGGTGGCGCACTTGGTGTCATTGTGCCGCACATTCGCAGTGTTCAGGATGCACGCGACGTTGTTGCCGCTGCCAAGTTCCAGCCCATCGGCACGCGATCGTCAACCAACGGGCTTCCTCATTACCAATTCCGCACGATTCCCGCCAAGGTCTCCAACCCGGTCACAAACGACGCAACTTTGGTCATTCCAATGATTGAGACTCTTGAAGCACTAGAGTTGGTTGATGAGATCGCAGGGGTAGAGGGCGTAGACTCTCTGCTCATTGGTACCAACGATCTGACGGCTGAGATGGGTATTCCGGGTGACTACGAAAACCCTAGACTCACAGAGGCCTATAAGCGAACAATTGAGGCTTGCAACAAGCACGGAAAATGGGTCGGAGTTGGAGGTCTTCACTCACGAATGGATTTGGTCGAGAAGTTCTGCCAAATGGGAGCCCGCTGGGTAATGGCTGCGACTGATGGCCCATTGCTCATCGCCGGTGCCACGAAGAGAGCTGCTGAGATGGCTAGTCTGAGCGTTAGGGCGACTTCAGCTACGAATGGCAAGTCATAAATTGTCAGTGACCATCGATCGGATGCTGTTGTTTAGCACAGAACACTGTCACTGCAGGGTGCCATAAAGCATGGTATGATGGGATGTAAGCGGTTCCAGATTTCGTCGCGGTAGATGTCTCATTCATCATTCAGAGATTTGAAATGTTGGCATGCAGTCTTCAATATCTCAACTTCATACACGACTTGTTATGATAAGGTCGCATTATCTTTTATTTTTCCTTCTCGTGACTCTGACTCCATTTCGGCTTGCCCGCGCTTGCAGGGCCGGGGCAACTTCGTGGGATGTATCCGTAGGTGTGACCTATCAGGTCCTTCCCAGCTTCCCCATGGAGGCTTGGCGTCAATCCCCGCGAGTGTTGTGACTAATTACGTAATAAGTTCACTCCTGTTGTGTGGGGAAAAGGGACATCGGCAAACAATCGGAGGTGCGAGGACCTGGGCACCGCAAATTCCCCATCACAGTTGATTGCCAGGGCCGATGTTCTGTCGACGGACCACCTACTCTGCTTGAGTCATCCATTGGTCGGCATACCCTTCATCTGTGTCAATACCTGGTGTTAGGAGAAAGACGGCCGGGCCATGAGTTCGGCTTCATCTACAGGTGCGCGGGAAGCTTCGAACGCGAGGGAATCCCTTGAGCCGCCTCAAACGACCGCCCAAACCCGACCGCAAGCTTGCGAGAGATGCTGGAAGAGAAAGCAAAAGGTATATGGCCCCCGTGTCTGCACTTGACCATTAAAAGCTAGCATTAGCTGACAATAATCAGTGTGATCGCCGTCTGCCGGCATGCAACTCATGTAGCGTGCTAGGGGTAGAATGCATCCCACGAAATCAAGATTTCAACATCATATCCGAGCTCTCGCATACTTCTGTTGTTGGGTATCACATTCTGTTCCCCTATCTACTAACATGTCTGCTAACAGACCTCAGCTACGTAGCATCATTGAAGAGGCGGGTTGCTGATCTTGAAGAAGAATCTTTTTCTAGAAAACGCTCGCGCACATACAGTTGTCGAGCTGATTCAACTCTGGATCAGTCTTCTGATCATGATAATGGCGCAAGATCTCGGGATGCTACATCGGTCCTGTCGAGTCAGGCCATGCATCCTGCTGGCAGCAATGGACACGACAACGACGATTCATCAGTGAGGGCCACTATGGGAGCAATCGGCTTCTTATCACGCAGCGCTATGGCCGAACCTCGAGATGATTCGGATGATCTACCAAGAAAGTTCTCTTTGGCCGAAGTGGTCTCCGGGGCGCTAGCTATCGATGGGCGCGACCCGTCCACGGCCATTCCAGCACCCCAATCGCCTGGTATTACCAACCACCTCGCTTCCGTGAGCCAAGTTTCAACGCTTCAACATGTTCGGAAGTTTCTCGAATGGTCCGCCCTGTTGCCCTATCTTGACGAGGACATATTTCTCCGGCAATGTGAGAGTATAATGGCTAGCAGAGCGCAACCTCAACCTGCACAGAACTCCCAATCATTGCATAATTTCAATGTTCACATGGCCTGCGCCATTGGAATTCTGCTCTCTCCAAGTTCGACTCATCTCTCACTACTTAGTGCAGGCCTTCATTCTACGGCAATCAAGGAGTTACCCTCCGTCCTGCGTACGGAAATGGCCCTCGAGCACATACACTGCATGATAATGCTTCTTATCTACTCTTTGTTCAACTCCTCTGGTGGTTCTGCCTGGCATCTTCTGGGTCTGGCAGTGAAGACGTGCATCTCCCTTGGCCTTCACCGGGAGCCAGATGCCCACTCCAACTTGACGATATCAGAGGCCACCAGACGGCGATGGCTATTCTGGACTGTTTACTACTTTGACCGGTATGGTAGTTTGCTTGTGATTCACATTCTGTTCTGGGACTAAGCTTAGCTCTAGGATGATTAGTCTTGTGATGGACCGCCCCGTTAGTATTCAGGATGACGACATCTCAGTTCGGGTGAGTAGAGCACCTAAAGAGCAAAATACAATGTCAGTCGTTCTGAAGCTGACAAAAACAATACAGCTCCCAATTGAAGATGGCCATGTGCCCGTATCAGCGGATATATCGTCTAAGAGGTTGCCTATCAGTCGCTACCTCATACTGTATTCACAATTAATCTCGAGCATCCGAGCAGGAAGAAAGGACGATGTTCTGCTCACTTATAGCAACATTATCCATTGGAGAGACCTGCCTCCCAATGGAGATCGTCATTCGTCATCTAATCAGCAGCTTTCGGACCTTTTTCATCAATTGTCTTGTCGAGCTTTGGTACATCTCACCTCGTCAACGCCTCCAACACATGAGAGTATCGGTCCATTGCTTGGCAGCACTCAAGATCTTGATTTGGACACTATTAATACATCTCGGCAATTTGTCAATCGATGTTACGACCTATTTACCCAAGGCATTTTCATTTGCAATTTCATTGATGCATACGACGTCTTTCAAGCTGCCGTTACTTTCGCCTGTCTCAACTGGCGTATTGGCCGGGAGAATTCTGCAGGGCGTCGACTCGCTGAAGTGACGGAAATAATCAACAAGTCTTCGACGCTTGTAACGATTGCGGCATCAAGATTCCCTGCACTTGCAGCTTTTCAGCGGGTCTTGCTAGGTCTCTCCACGCGTATGATGGATAGTCACAATGCGATATCCAGTGTGAGACATCTATTGCTCTCTTCAGTCCCTTGCCAATCACCCGTCTGCTAACATGTCTGAAGACCAACTCTTGGGTGAACTTCCCGCATATTGTTCCACGTCGATCTCAACAACTCATTCGATGCACATTTTCTTAATCAGGGGAAACGCCCTGTACTGATGCCCCCTCAGGCTTTTCTATCCTCCGGCTGCAAATTGGAGTTTGCATCGCCCACGTTGCCAATAAGTTTTGGTTAACTGAAAGCTGGGTGAGTTGAGCAAAAGGCCAGGTCCCCCAAGCCTCTCTTTTCGCCAGTCAACCCCAATCCACCCAGGTGCCGAGATGCCCGGGCGGAAAATCTATTCAACATACACCAAACTTCCACAATATACTTTCTCTCGCTCCTCTGAATTCAAGGATTTGGTCTCTCTCTCACTGAAAAGCCGAAGCCTGAACACATGTTCCTGCCTGTTGGTTTCCCATCGTGGCACGAGGATGATTGATGAACGAGCAGACTCTCTAGGGTTGCTTTAACCGGAGTGATTTTCTTTGGCCAGTTTCAAGTATCTGAGGACGTTGTAGTGGTGCATCTTCCTCCTAGATCAAGATAACAGTTTGTGGGCGGCAGTGTCACATAGTGGAGGCCAGATTCAAAAGGTGGGTGTGTATCAATACAGATGTCGGTGAGCAAACATCAGGCCATGGGGGTCAATTTTCGGCCATTGAATTGAGTAGTTCCCCATTGGCAGTCTTGGCGTGACATTTACCTCAAGCGCTTACCCACTTACGGTATTGGTTGCCAATGCGGACCAAGTCCGAGCAGAGTCTCTGCCTTCCGGAGGCCTTCCGATAGTGGCAGTAGCTGACCCCAGACAACCCGCAACAAATACATGATCGTTGGATTCGCGGGGAAACGGGGTCTCAATGCGGGGAAACTAGAGCTTTGTGGCTGTAAAATTGGCCATCATGCTTTTCCGAGTTGAGCTCGTGGTCACCTCGTGGTCAGGTCTTTCGAAGTCTCAGTCATGACAACCTGAAGTATAAAAGGGTCTCGACCGTTTTTAAAGAGTGCCTTTTCCAAACGTTTCCTACTTCCTACCTCATTCCCAATTCATCTTACTTCAACTCACAGACATACCTCGGCAAACATGACGCTTTCTCGTAACTCGACACGCGGCTCAGTCGATGTCAAGGTTGGGATCGAGTGGGAAGAAAATGCCCCAGCCCGCGACCCTCTACTGGAGCGGTACGACCTCATCAGGAATAAGACCCCTGAAGAACTCAAAGCACTCGACAAAGCCGTTCGAAAACGTCTTGATTGGAAATTCCTACCCATGGTTTGTGCCATGCTCATGATGAAGTGAGTTTCGGACCCCGGGTCTGCTCCATCTCAAGCCTATTTGTCGACAGAGAAGTCATTACTAACCATGTCAAGTTACTTGGACCGGATCAACGTATCGAATGCGCGACTAGCCGGCATGCAAGATGATCTTCACATGTCCGACACCATGTGGTCCGCCGGTATTTCCCTTTTTTACGTCGGATACATCATCTCGCAGGTTCCCGCAAATGTCATCATTGCGAAAGGCAAGCCGCGAATCTTGCTTCCATGCTGTATGCTCGGGTGGTCTGTCACCACCTTATGTATGCCTGCTGTCACTGCCGGCTGGGGATTCCTCTTGTGTCGCTTTGTCGTAGGGCTAACAGAGGGTCCGTTTGTCCCAGCTGTTTCTCTCATGACGTCGTCATGGTATACGAAGCACGAGTCTCCCCTCCGTATGGGAATTTGGCACGCTGGAAACACCATTTCGCAGGCTATTTCGGGCCTTCTGGCTGCCGGTATCCTCCAGAATATGGACGACATAGCTGGAATGTCAGCATGGCAATGGTTCCTGCTACTTGAAGGTCAGTTGCTGTGCATATGGTGATGTTGTCTTTTCTGACACCGGTCCAGGTATTGTTAGTATCACGATTGGTCTAGTCAGCTTCTGGTTTATCCCCAACTTTCCCGAGTCAACTGGCATCTGTTTCCTCACTGCTGAGGAGTCACAAATGGCTCAATACAGACAAACTGTGTCGGCTGGCGGTCGAGCTGAAGATGACGAGGGAGATTACTGGGGAGGGGTGTGGATGGCACTCAAAGACCCGTTCACGTACCTTTTCTCTGCTATCCACTTTTTTCTCATCATTGCGCAGTCTTACAAAGACTTCTTCCCTTCGGTCGGTTATATCTATCCATACTTATAAAACCTTGGCTTGCACGTTTACTTACATGTTCTTTAGATTCTCGCCACTCTTGGGTTTGGGGACCCCACCACGTATCTCATTCAAGCGCCGCCTCCAATCATTGCCTTTCTTGTAACTCTGGCAGTTTCCTGGTCATCTGGGAGAATGCTTGAGCATGGCTACCACATCATAGTGCCAATTCTGTTGACATTGGTTGCATGTGTTGTAATGATCACAACGTTGAACGTTGGGGCCAGATATTTCTGCATGATCTTGTTGGTCACTGGCCCATTTGTCGGCCTTAATGTAAGTGTTACGGACTGTTCCCTGCGCGTTTAAGTGTCTGTTACTGACCACAATAGCTTCAAATATCTTGGGAAACAACTGTTGTGCCACGACCAAGGACCAAGAGGGCTGCTCTGATCGCTATTGCCAACTGTGTCTCGTCTGTCTCTCACTGGTTCACCCCGTACTTTTTCCTTCGAAACCAGGAGCCATATTATCAGACGGGAGGCGGCGCAATCATTGTTGGGTGTGGTTTGACAGTAATCTTTGTCCTCGTTACTAAGTGGTACTGTCGGAAGAAGAACAAAGAGTTGGATGAGCATGAAAGAGTCTCCGGCGAATCCAATGGATGGAGGTTTGCATCTTGAGAATTGTCTGTGGCTGTAAAATTGTTATTACTCTCAATCTATTCGTACTGAACTGCCATGCCAAGACTACTATACCTACACATGTCCCCTAGATCAAGACCTACTGTTTCAAAATACGTCATCCCTCTCCTCATCCAGTTGCAGTGGCTAGTATCTTGGATTGGTTCGTGCATATAGACTTCGGTGCCGGTATACCTTAGCTGAGCTGAGATGACGGATAGGACATTTCATTGATTTTGATTCTGGGGAAGAACAGCACGCTACTAGTGAACTAGAACGACATTCCTTCCACCAAAGGTTCCTCCTTGGGAAATTCACCCAGAAATCAAATTGCTATCGAAGCCCCATTCCGAAGTTGACCTAAATTTAAGAAACTTTTGTTCTGGTGTTTCCTACTGGATACGTGTGGTAATATGCGGCGGGTCTGGATTCGATCAATTGACAATTGTCCATGGATGGGCACACGGGCGAATAAGGTGGAATTTTGTGGAAAGGTCTGCGTATTTAAACAACCCTCTCAAGAGATATCAAGTCTTGAGGTTCTACAAGGTGTATTGATATAGCGGGCTCTTTTCCCCCATTCCGTCTAGTTGTTCTTGAGAGTACCTCTCCCTGACTTCGTGCTGAGACAACTTGGACTTCTTGTTGTTCAATCTCCACAGTAGAAATTCCAAAAGAACAGCGGATATTAGACCTAGACAGATAATACCGAGCGAAGTGCCATATCCTGTGGGATACTTCGGGCCCTCCTTGTCCAGGAAGACATTGGTTCCAATGAGGCCTAATACTCATTAGCAAATGCAGGATGAATCCAGCGAGCGATTGCGCACTTTCACTTACTGCCCAAATTACCAGCGGCAAGCAGCCAAGCTATACCAATGGACCGTTTCCACGAGAGAGCGAGGTTATTTCCTATCCAGGCAGTTATGCCAGGCAGAAGCGGATATATGCCGATCTGTGCCAATATGACACTGACATACATGGCTGGGACATTATTGGCTACATCCGAAGAGAAGTGAAACAAGATTCCAAGTGCCACTGCTGAGATAGTCATCGGTCCAATGATGAAAGGCATCCGCCAAGAGAATCGGTCTGAAAATCTGCCTGTGAGCCATGCCGATATGCCACCGCAGAAATACGGTGGAATCGTCAACAGCTGCGCTTTTTCCGTAGAAAAGCCAAGCTGCTTAGTAATTTGAGGCATTGTGAATTTGAACGCGGCGTTCGGCACAGAGTTAGCCTAAGCAAGAAGGATGCCAAGTCCTATCTTCCAGTCGACAAGAGTGTCCAAAAGTAGTCGCCAAGAGAGCTTGTCACCTTCCTGGGTACCAGATCGAACGCCAGACAGACGAAGACGTACATCGATGAATCTTTTATCGTCCTCGTTAAGCCATTTCGCCTTCTCTGGGGTGTCGAGAATAAGGAAGGGCATTGCGGCACCTGCAGCGATCGTCACTGCACCTTCAAGGAGGAATATCCACCTCCAGCCCTCAATGCCGCGAACACCATCCATTCTGGCTATTGCAAAGGCTAGAAGTCCGCTCAACGCACCCGAAAATGCCGATGCAGTATAGAAGATGGCGAGACGCTGTTGCAGCTCGTGTCGGGGATACCACGTGCTCACAATGTATACAGCGCCTGGGAAGAAACCTGCCTATTCGCCATGAACTTCTATCAGCACTTTCTCATCTCGGCATAGCATCTAGAAAGGGACTAACCCACCTCGCAAAGACCAAGACAGACCCGGCAGATCACCATCCCTTGAAAGTCTTTCACAACTCCCATGAGAGTCATTACAGTTCCCCATGAAAGAACGAGGGCGGATAGCCACATGCTGGGACGGACCTTTTTGAGTATGATATTCGAAGGAATTTCTAGTCAAGGAAATTGATTAGCTTCAATGGGTACTGGGTCTATCACTTAATAATGCATGCAGCCCACCAAAGATGATGTATGGAACGAAGAAAATGGTGCTCGCGATATTGTATTGGTTGCCTGTTAGCCCCAGATCTTTATCCATGCCCTCAATCTTCGCATTGCCGATGTTTCCTCGGTCAATATGAGAGAGAAGGTATAGAATACCCATGATTGGAATCAAGCGATAATCAATCTAGGTGGTACCCTTCTTAGTAACACAAACAAGTCAAAAGTCTTTGCGCACTTGATGTGGCAAACGGCGAGTTGTGAATCCAGCTCAACTGACCTTTTTGACAATCTTTCTGCCTTTCTTTCCCTCATAGATTCTCATAAGTTCCCTATCCTCTGACGATAGACTTGCATATGGGTCGGAGCTTGAACCTGACTCCAGGTGTTTAACGTCCATTTTGGCCATTTCACGGTTGCGGATTTCCGATTGTTGTACCATGTTTTCAAATAGGAAAAATCAAAAGGCGTAAATCGCATTGAGGATCCGAATTTGATGAGCTGAATTCCGGGGGGAAGGGGGCATTTCACATTTTTAAAACTGGATATCCCTTGTCACGAGTTGGTGAGCCGGGCGGGATCCTTGTTGTTGCTCGTTCGAATCTGCTGACCCTCAGCTTGTACCAAGATCATGCATCCTTTCCCTTTTGATCCTCCCCGCATTCTATGTCAGACAAGCGGGAGAGGGCGCCGATAATTCCTTCGTCTGTGAATCGAAACATCCAGCCCGCTGACTAGACTTTAGCCATTCCCGGCAGGCTCGATGCAGGTGTTCGGCTAGAATTCCCTCGGGGCCTTTCCGACGACGGGGCGACTCCGGTGTCACGCTGGAAAGCTTCGGGGCGAGTCCAGATCCACCAAAGACCACCTTCTACAAGCGACTGGTACACACCGATGGTGAAAAAAAGCACGTTGTCAGCCGAGGGGGCTAAGTACTCCTCCATATGTAGATGCTGGGTGCTTCTCGCTGTATTGTATTAAGTTGGGCGAGAGACGTTGTGCTGAACCCCTGCAGAGTTGTTCCAGCACACCGAGTGTAACACGTCTATGCCTTACGAGTGCAATCTCTTCACCTGTCAGTTTCTCTGGGGCAACTTTCAACGGCCAGCTTCAAAATGACGACGATTGATTTTCCACCGTTTAAAGATCTTCCTCTTGATAAGAATGGACCACGCGGCAATGCGTGGGGTCGTTGGGGCCCCGACGATCAGCTAGGCACTCTCAATCTACTCACAGACGACATTGTCGCCAGTGCAGCCAAGGAAAACATCATTACCGGCCAAAGGATGTCTCTGAAGTACGTCACAGGCTTGAATCAACACCATTGGTTATTTGCTGAGTTAAGTGGGTTTGAAGCTGGTCTATGACTGGCGCCTCGTACCCCAAGTTTTCCCGGAAGCTTCTCGAGTTGCACACCATTAATAAGGCACCCCTTAAGCATGCTCACGATGACGAAGTATGTGTCAAACGGGTTTCCCGAATTAGAGTATTTGATCAATGAGTCGAGCTGATGGGATCTTTCAGTGGAGCTTTAATTCCCAGTGCAGCTCTCAGTGGGACGGCTTTAGGCATTACGCATACCAAGAACAAGGGGTTAGTTCTGTGCATCTTCACAGGTGCCATCAATACATCAAATCGATTGATGATTGACGCGTTCAATCTAGCTTTACTACATGGGACGCACCGCCGCTGACTTTGCGGGCTCTCCCGTAGCAAATGGCATACAACGTGAGTTTGCCATTACTTGCCGCAGCCATTAACAGATATTAAATTTTGGTCAGACGTTTCTCACAAGGGCATTGCCGGCCGAGCTGTCTTCATTGACTGGTACGCTTGGGCGCAAAAGCAAGGGGTCGTCGTCGATGCCTTTTCATCCCATGAAGTTCCTTTCAACGAATTGATGGAGGCAATGACCGCCCAGGGTCTCGGAAAAGACGTCTTACGACCAGGAGATATCGTAGTCCTTCGTTTTGGGTACCTCGCCCAGTATGAGTCGATGACACTCGAGCGGCGACGGGAACTCGATGAGCTCTACAAAACATGTAAGCCTGATAACATAGGCGTCAAGCCATCCGTTGAACTCCTCGAGTTCCTCTGGAACAACCAAATCGCGGCCATCTGTGGAGATACACGATCTCTTGAAGTCTGGCCATGCAAGGACACGGAGTGGCATCTGCACGAATGGCTGCTTGCCGGATGGGGGATGCCGATAGGAGAGTTGTTCTACTTGGAAGATCTCTCCCGCCTCTGCTCGTCACTCCACCGATATGTATTCTTTCTGTCGAGCTCACCGATGAATGTAAGGTCTTCTTTGTCCGTTCTCGAGGGTCTGGATGATTCTTTATCTAACCGTCCCCACTAGGTTCCTGGAGCAGTGGCCAGCCCACCAAACGCTTTGGCCTTCTTCTGATATCGCTAAATCGAAATGATGGGCTCATTTGATAAGAGCTCAAACATGCATTTCTCTTTAGGCCATGTCTGTCTTCTTGCGTATTTGTCAATTTCGTATCGGTGTTGCACTCCAGATACGAAGAGGACATTGTAGTAAAGCAGTACTCTCTATTGGTCGGAAAGGGTCAGTCGAACGGGTGGACCTGCAGATTCTGCAACAAATTAAGCATAATTCAGAAGGTGACTTCCAGGCTCTCTCGTATTCGGTGGACCCTCGTGTGATTTTACTCTATCCCACCGGCTCTTTTTGATGACGAAGAAGGCAGGTTGCATTGGCGATCTTGGCGATGCTGACGGACTGGGTACGGTTTAAAAGTCTGGATGGCGCGTTCGACAAGAAACACGATTTTCTTTTGCTCCAGAAAGTTTCTCCAAGCTTTCGATTCCATTAGATAAGACCTCGAAATGGCGAGATCATCTCTTCTAATGGTGGGCCTCTTGGTTTCAGCATCGGAGTCATATGTTTGGCCTTCCAAATACGACCATTTGGAGGACATTCTAGCCATGCATTCGGGCTACATCCGATTTGGCTTCTCTGACTGTTTGTGTTCATCTTCAACTCACTTCACGTCTATTTCATTTCATCTTAGGGTCTGACGAATAGAAATCGCAGTGGCCACGCCTTGCAGCCATGGCTCAGGTATGCCTGGGGTCCAGAATTCGGCCGAGTGGATACGTAGTGCATTCCATGACATGTCTACGTCCGACGCGGCAACTGGCACTGGTGGGCTCGATGCATCACTCATGTTCGAGCTTGAGCGGCCTGAGAACATCGGCTCTGCTTTCAACAACACGTTTGCAGCAATGTGGGATTTTCTCACGCCTAGATCCTCAGTCTCTGATCTTCTAGCTCTCAGCGTCGTGGCTGCAGCTGCGGCGTGTGACGGGCCTAAAATTCCTTTCCGAGCCGGTCGTATCGACGCAACTGAAGCGGGACCTGCCGGGGTTCCCAAGCCGGAAGATGACCTTGAAAGTACGCGCCAAACGTTTAAGAGGGCGGGCTTCAACGATGGTAAGACCACAGCCTTTTGGAAAGGCCCATATCAGTGTGCGCCCTAACAAGACGTATGCAGAGGACATGATTACAATGGTAGCATGCGGTCACAGCTTGGGCAACATACATAGTGTCGACTTCCCAGAAATGGTAGCCGGCGAGACTTCCGAAGAGAACATTGCTCATTTCGATACTTCTCCGACCAACTTCGACAACGCAGTTGTGACTGAGTATCTTGAAAACGAGACAGCTAACCCTCTGGTGGTCGGGGTGAACGACACAATGAACTCGGACAAGCGCATCTTTGGTTCCGACGGTAACGCTACCATGTCTTCTCTCTCGGATCCTGTCACATTCAAGTCAAAGTGCACCCGAATCTTCGAGCGCATGATCGATACCGTTCCCGCGTCAGTGACATTGACAGAGCCACTAGATATTGTCGATGTCAAACCCTACGTGGATCCTCCTCGGCTGCAATCGGACGGCAGCCTGCTGTTTGAAGGGCGCATTAGAGTCCGTAATAATGCGGAAACGGGTATCAACGGTGATGACCTGGAAGTATCATTGGATTACCTGGATCGTCAAGGGTCCCGAGACGCAGGTATGATTGTGGCCAGCCGCGCCCGCAGCAGGGGTGGCCAGTCGTATGGCTTCTGGGGCAACACGTTCACCTGGTTCGAATTTTCCCGATCAATCAACGCCAGCACTGGAATCAGCAATTTCAACATTCTGCTCAAGACACCTTCTACCGGTACAGCATTCATTCTTGACAATTCAAACACTGGTGGATATCCTGTGGATTCCGACTTGCTGTACCAACAAACAGATTCATGCGTCACGGGAACCGGTACGACTCGAGACTTGTCTCTGGTTATAGCTCTGCGCAAAGAGTTAGCTGGTGGAAGCACCCAACCTCTTCTGCACCTTGCCCATCGCGTCGCTCGACCAGGTGTCTTGCTCCCAAGGTTGGAAGTGGAAAGCGTGCCGTTCCTTCCAGTTCCAGGCTTGGAAAAAAGTGGTTTTCAATATTTTCGTGCCAATGCCACCCTTGACGCAAGCGGGTGGAGCACGACATTTGATATTACGATGGAAGATTCATCAGCGGGCGGCAAACATGAACTGGGTCTCTTGAAGACAAGTGTTCTGTCAGGGACTTGCACCGTTTAGAGGTACAAATAAAACAAGTGATAGGCCAATCTCGACGCCATCATTTTCCCATATTACCCATCAAATACGTTCACAAATACCAACACATTTGCCATTCGTCGGTCCCCTCGCAACTAGGTTCACAGCTGTTGTCATGGTCTTCATACGGATCCATGTTGAGAATGTCTTAGTTCCAACAACGCATGCTCGGCGCTCTAGTCCGCCCCTCGAGCGCGAAGTTTCCTAGTGTGTTTCCTTCCACAAAACTCCTGCTTTGACACCGCAACAAGAATTGCCGACCTTCTTCATGCCCGGGTTTGCAAATGTGATATGCATGTCTGAAGCTGAAATCGCGTCGATACTGACGGTAGGTAGGTAAAACGCTGTAAGAGCGGTCGTTTAGATCATTCCCCGGGGTGTGACTTCTGGAATTGAAATTGACTAGAAACCTAAAGAAGCAATAAAACTGATTCAATGACATCACACTCCGGTCCAAATCTCAACAGGCCCTCTTAGCACGGATTTTGGCCCGCCGGCTCCAATTATCGCCCTCTGGCCTCCGCAGAAACTTGCCAGTATCGGGGTTTCTCATCTCTACGACGCGCCCTTCACTTGACAGCGCTCTACACTTAGCGTATGACCGATGCACCCCACAACTTGACTTCTCTTTGGCGAAGACCAGAAAGCGTTTGAAGGATTGATTCGCACCGTTAGCCTTCTTGTCCAAACTTTCCAGAGATCACGTTTCATTCAAATCACCCTCTTTTCGTTGTCGTTTGGCATTACACGGAGGATCATAATGGCCAAAGCACCCCTTCGATGCCTATCGTTGATCATCTCCCCTTATCATGTCGGCCTTCGCGACCAAGGACCTGGAGCAGGCCCTGCCTTTCTCAAGGCATGTGGCTTATCCAAAAGCCTAAGCAACCTTGGCCTACCGTTGCGTGAGATATACGTGGAGCCGGTAGACGAATTTGAAGGAGAAATTGGCCGCTGCTTCGAGATTGTCCGACGCACAGCAAGACTTGTCGCACAAGAGCGGCGGCGGAACTCGTTTCCCATCGTTCTCGCTGGAAATTGCGCTTCTGCTGTCGGGGTGGCCGCCGGGCTGCATACAGTGCAAAAACAGAACTTGGATGCGTGTGGTTCGATGTGCATGATGATTTCAACACGCCAGATACTGTCACGAGCGGCTATTTCGACTCGATGCCCATTGCCATGCTAGCGGGACAATGCTGGAAAGCAATGCTGGAGACTGTTCCCGGGCATCGCTCTATCAATTTGGAGCGTCTGGTGCACGTGGGAATGAGAGATGTGAGCCACTTGGAGCGAGCACGGGTAGGAGAGGCCGGCTTCGACGTGATCTGGGGCGATACTGAGAAGAAAGTCGACTTCAAAGCAGGACTCAGCACAGTGCTGCAACGAAAGCAACTTCGTCCCACAATGGTGCATTTCGATGTCGACTCTTTGGACGTCTCTATCGGGAAAGCCAGTCGGTTTGCAGCGCCTGGTGGCCTGTTGGAGCCGGACATTGTCGGCTGCTTCAGAGAGATCTCCACGGCCACTGAGCCTGTCTCTTTGACTGTGGCATCATTCGACCCGACATTTGAAGGTGCTCGCAATCTTGCAGCAGTGGCTATCAAATCAGTCACAGGCTTTGTACAGTCGCTCATGGGCTCAGGTGTACTTTACAAGCCATAGCATCTCATGAAAACAATAGTTTCCAGTGATGTTGGCATTGCTGCATCAGAAATTCTATTCCATTCCCCAAACCCCTAGGAATACGAGTATCAAATCAGTACCTGAAACAAGCTATGATTCTGCGCTATAGCTTCAAGCACTCTCATCGTTTACTAGGTAGGAATTACAGTCATGTTACACTCAGTGCATGCATCTATCGATCTCGTCCTGCGGCCCCAATTGCGTTGTCAAGGTATTTCCAGGCACGTTCGACCGCCTCCGGAATATCCACATGTACGAGAAATCCTTTGCCATTGGGACCATAACCATTTACATCATCCCTGAGACGAGGCACCTCCCCCATCAGTAAGTCCACGAAACGTCCCATGTCCCATAGGCCATCTGAGGTAATGCCACGGCTTTGTTGCCCGGAGTACTGGAGCAGTGCTAGTGGATCTTGTTTTCCCTCCTCATTCACGCCAGATTTGACGTGAACCTTTGGCGTGAATGTTGGCCAGCTGGTGATGTGAGGTGTAGATCTGTGGTTCATGGCATACGTCTTCTCAAACGTTGCAACGGTCCTCTTTGACATAGTGGGATCCTGTACAACTATGATCGACCGCGGTGAGGTAATTCCACAGGCCTCAAGAACTTGCTTAGACTCGGATGCGTTTGCACCACAGTTTGTGGAACGATCTTCAACTACGACAACAAACTTATCTCGGTCATTACTAAGCACCATGGCAGCCTCCGGACCGGCTTCGAGGGCTTGAATCCCAAACCAGCGCTCGGCAATCAGCTGCAAGACGCGTGCTTCTGGTTTCCGCTGAACTTCGTCTGCGATTACGTTGTAGATTGGATGTCTGGCAACTGCGTCATACAAGAACGGGGTAGAGTGACCGATGCCGCCGCAAAGCACCAGGACTGTGCGTCTCCCGTCTCTGGGGGCATGGGTCAGTCTCCTTTTCTTGTGGACGCCCAATCTCACTGAATAGGTATTCACACTCACAGATCAATCTTTTGGTCAAGTGCAGAGTTACCAGATGGTTCTCCTCCATTGAATGCAGAGAAAACAACATCGGCCAAGGCGAGCACGGACGAAGCACAGAAGACTATGGCGTCGGTAGGTGGCGCGGCTGGTGTCACATTCCGAGGCTGGGAGGTTGGCAGCGACTCGAAGAACCGATTGACCCCTGAGACTCCATCAATTCTTTCGTCGGATAAGAATCTAGACAGAACGTTGACTGCATCAGCTGCCTCTGCCATGCTTGCGTTGAATACTCGGGCACGTTGTGACGGGGAGCGGTGTGCCGAAGCGGGTTGTTCGCAGTGGAGGTAATACGTGCTGACTTATCCTGATCATCGAACATCACTGAGGTGTTTTGAAGGCCGTGCGCAGACGCTAGGCTGCTTTCAGAATCTCGTTCCGCTGGCGCTACGTTACCGCGTACGGCGATCATGGACACAAACTGAAGCAACCTCAAACTATTAATTTCTTGCATTTTCTTGGACGTTTCTTTCCGTAGGTAATATATGTACGAAAGATTCTTCGAAAGCCTTTATATAGTCCGCACCCAACCTCTTCGATTACTGCTCAGTCAAAAGAAAGGAAAATGAAACGGGAAAGAAAACAGCCAGAAAGGCAGGCAGTATCTGTTGTCGTTATGAATATCAAGTTGAAGACTACGACCATCGCATGAGCAGATCAGGTCGAGTTTCATATGTATTGTCGGGAGTTCAACCTGCGTCATCATGCTTACAACATCGGAAGTATTTTGCTAAATTAAATGAGGAGCTCTGAACAATCCCGCTTGAGACACCAGGAATTAGAAAAAAGCCCACATGCACAACACGAAAGATTTTCTAGGCCCTTTGGCGAGCATTTTGCATTCAACGCAATGGCCGATGAATTTGCGTCCTTGAGTACAACTTTATGGAAGCAGGGCTGCGGAGTTTGTGAATTACTAATTGCAAGTCCGCAACCACAAAAAACTCCGCTTAGCTGGCTAATTCGTGGTCTTCTTTCCTTTCCAAAGCGGGTCATTCGAGACTTGGCAAGCCTGTACGGGAATCAAGACACGCGCTTTTCAGATTTCCGCAAAGAGCTAGACTAAGTAAGGCCATAAAACAGTTCCCGTAGTTTCCGCTTAAAATTCCGTCAACAGTCCGGTTACGAGTACGAAGTCAACAGACCGTACTACAAAACGGGAAGCAGTTGCTATAGTATCTTTGTCATCTGTTGTACATGTAATTTGACTTCTGTATTCAACATGTCTTCAGAAAACACCATTACAAATCGAGCTGTTGTTCTTCCCGGGGCGGGACAGGACGCAATTTTTGAAATACGCGAGAAGCCAGCTGCAAACGCAGGAGATGCAGTCATAAAAGTCATTGCTGTCTCCGTCAGAGCCAACTCTCCGAATGTGTATCGAAACCCGAGCAGCGGACATCCTTTGCCATTTCCCTTCACCCCTGGATTTGCGTCCATCGGCAGAATTATCGACATCGGACCCGACGCAACAAGACTGAAACACGGGCAATTGGTCTTCTTTGATCCATACATACAGGCCCGGGACCGTGGTGGAATATGGATCTCCGGAATGATGGAAGGGTTTGACGAGGGCAGTCGAAAGCTGTCCCGAGGAGAGTGGCGTAACTCTACGTATGCCGACTACGCGAAGGTTCCTCTGGAGAGTTGCCGCCCGTTAAACGAAGAGAGGCTTTTGGGCAGTATTGATCAAGATGGGCTTGGGTACACAATGGAAGACTTGACACATCTCTTCAGTATGCTCGTCCCATTCGGCGGTCTTGCGGACATCGATGTCAAATCTGGAGATACTGTCATTGTCGCCCCGGCGACAGGGAGGTATGGGAGTGCAGCTGTCCACCTCGCCCTTGCTATGGGCGCACACGTCATTGCCATCGGGCGCAATGGGCCAGTTCTCGAGCAAATTGCGTCCATCAACGCTCGCGTCTCCACTGTCAAACTCACCAATGTCGTCGAGCAGGACACTCAAATGCTCCGCAAGGCTTGTCGGGGGTCAGCTGACGCCTTTTGGGACATGTCTCCATCTGGCGCAGCCACTTCTTCTCATTTTACCAGTTGCATGAACGTTCTCAGGCACGGCGCTAAAGTCAACTTGGAGGGCAGCGTTTTATCCGGTATTAACTTTGGCTACATGGACATTCTAGGCCGTGGAATTACCATCAAAGGAACGTGGATGTGCACTCCGGAGCAGACCGAAAGGCTCATCAAAATGGTAGAAACCGGAGTTCTCCCCCTTGGAAGAAAGGCCGGCATGGGGCCAGTTCATAAGTTTCGGCTGGAGGATTGGGAACAAGCGTGGGATGCCGCAGAGGAGAAAAGAGAACCGGGCGAGATAGTCATCATGCCCTGAACGCCATGACTTCACTTACCGTCGTTTAGGGGCCACATCGCGAATAGTGCTCCAGAAAGTTTTCGCTCGGGCAGCCGTGCTTCCAGTCGTAATTGAGTATCCTTCAATTTTCGTATTCCAATTTTCATCATTGCCGTGTTAGGGGGAGCCATTTTTTTCAACCTCTTTGTCAGACACTGGCTCTAGGCGAAGATGGACTGATGCGATTGAACCCATTAGTTGGTATCATTCTTCTTTCCCATTCCAGTACCAAGATTGACGCGTTCGTCCCATTTTTTACCCCTTGAAAAGAAATTGATTGGCGCCGTTCCTCATCTTTCTGTTGCATCCAGCTGCTCGGTTGGATGCCGCACTAACCGGGTGGGTTGGATTAATTTCTCCGTGGGCTAGATCGGCCCACGAGAGTCTTCGTCCACCTCTACGAAGCGCTGTTTCAACCAGGGGTCAGTGTCAACTAAAATGAACCCATAATCTTCGAAGCATATATAAGCATCTCAAGCACTTGGCGATCTGCACTAGCTCCTTGGCCGACCTCACACACTCTTTCAACCACCAACTACAACCAACCACAGGGACAGGATCTCTCGTCGCTCGTTTTACTTTCAACTCAAAACTTTTTCAAGATGCGCAATTCCGTTCTTGCCGCTGCTGCCGCCCTGGCTCTGGGAGCCAAGGCCGACATCTACCCCAACTACGAGTATGGCAACATGTTCTACCTTGGCCCTACGACGGGCGGCCAGTACATTACGAAGGCTACCTATTCCATGGAGGTTCCTGCTCCTCCGAAGGACTGGGTCAAGAGCAATGAGAATGAGCGCTGGCTCTCACTGTGGATCGGTGTCCAGGACAACCCGAACAACGGCGATGTTCTGAAGATGAACTTCGTCCAACCCTTGCTCAACTGGGGTCCTGACAACACCGCATGGGGCTGCAGCGCTCCTAACACCCAATGGTGTGTCGCTGCCAGCACTTACACTCCCGACGGGCAAATCGGCCAGCCGTACGTTGAGGTTGACGAAAACGCAACCTTGGACTTTGAGAGTCAGTGCATCTGTATTCATTCGATATACACAGAACGCACCGGCTAACTCGATTATAGTATCTCTTAACTCCTCTACCGACATGATCGACCAGAAGGTCTGGTCTAAGGGAAAGCTACTCTCTTCGGAGTCCGATTGTAAGTCGACATTCGAAGCCGAATAGATACGAGAAATCATCCTAACCTCGTTTCATAGCCAAGGGCATGAGGCCTGCCGTGTTCTACTCCGGCAACGAGTGCTACGGCGATGGCTGCGGTACCCTTGATGCGTACGCATACAACAACATCACCTTGGTCTTCAACAAGGCCGTTCAGAACATTGGTGACATCGTGTCGTACACCAACGCAACTCACACTGAATGGCAGACTAAGGATAACGGAATCACCTGGACAATTGACTCAATCACCATTGAGAAAGACAACCTCACAGAGTAAACGTGACGTTATTTTTGGGCCCGAAAACTCTCTGTACATGGTTGTCTACTTCATTGTAAATATCTATTCCCACTCACAAGAGCACGGTACTCGGTGGAAGTGTACAAAAGAATTGCTGTACCTTTATGGCGCGCGTTGAAAGTCTCATTCGCGTGATTGCTTCGCAGCTAGACTTGATGCACCGACAACTAGAACAGGTGTTCTTCGGGTGAATTTGGGTAGCTCGAGGAAGAGTATTGAGCTTTTTGAAGCCTCACCTTTCGTTGAACTTTATCCCTTTATCCGAGACAAGAGTACTCAATAATAAGGTACTCATCCAAATTCTCCAACGTCCGTGCGGTGCGGGAAGTGGGATCCTCGCCCTTTCGGGCCCCAAGGTGGCCTTTCGCGACCAAGACTAATCAAGTAGTGCCCGACACCCGAAAGTCTACTGTACTCTTGAGATTGCGCACTAGTGTGATATTTGCCTTGTTAGTGATTGAGAGAACCATGTGGGTGCCTTCCGGCGAGTGGCTTCACCATATCCGTTGGTCTTTGCCGGTTGAAACTGTACTCGACGGGCCGGACAGTCGAGGACAAAAGTTGCACCGAAATGTTAGCCTGTGTGCTAAGATCTACTAGTCGGCGGAGCATAGAAAGACATAGTTATCTCCGGGGCTAGGCACATCGCTGGAGTTTTCGCATGCCCCATGTGGCCCGCCCAGCTGCGTGGGCCGCTCGGATGCAAAATCCGAGAAATGGAAGTGAGGAGTGGCAAGCTTCCTGTTTAGGAAAGTCGCACCTCCGACGTTCCGGTGTTAGTCTTACTGATGGAGGCCAAAGAAAACACACCGTCATTGAGGGGGCAAGCTGAGATGCTGCAGACTTGAGACAAAACAAAACGAGAGCTGTGTTGTATTACGGCTTTCTGCATTCGAGGACCTAAGTCCGAATACCTCACATCGTAGGTGGCTAGCAACGTTACCAAAATCGTGCTGTCGGTCGAAAACATTACTAGGAATTCACAAGCAGGATGGCTAGCGCTGTGGAAACTTGCATGTCATTGAGGCCATTCTTTTTCAGTCTAACCAAAGCGCGTATTTACGGCTTTGCTGGACGTACCTACGGGTGATCGGACTGGATCTCGAATTGCATTGATGCCACTTTCAGACTTGCCGAAGCAGCCAGGTGTTCGGAGTTAACAATTTTCGATCCCCATGAGCCTGCCTGAACCCGAAGCCCACCAATAGAACTTCACATTTATTTAAACGACGGTTCGCTTTTCTCTAATATCTTCACTCGCAGTAATAATCTAAGTCTTCTGCCCATTCATCAGTTGAGCAAGTTCGTTGTAGACGCACAAACTAAAGTAGCCTAACCGCAATGGCTCCTAGAATCGCCAAATACGCCAATGATCAGCCATCCGGCTTCATCAACCGCATTGAGAAGGTCGCCATTGTTGGCGTAAGTTCTGCTTCATAGAATTTATCACTTCATCACAGTCGGACTAATCGCTACGCAGGCTACCGGTACCATGGGCAAATTCTTTACCGAGGAGCTGCTCAAAGGCGGAAAGCACACAATAACCGCCATCACCCGTTACAACAGCGATTCGAAACTCCCCGAGGGTGTCATCGCAGCCAAGGTGAACTACGATGACGAGGACTCTATCGTCGAAGCACTCAAGGGACAACAATACCTCATCATTACCATGAACGTCAGCGCTCCTCAGGACACTCAGGGCAAACTCGTCAGAGCCGCAGCTAAAGCCGGTGTTCCATACGTAATGCCAAATGCTTGGTGCCCAGATCCGCAGAACACTTCTTTCATGAAAGACAGTCTCCTGGGTCACGCGTTCGAGGGGGCGGTGAAAGACATTGAAGAGCTAGGCGTCAGTGATTGGATCATCATGTCCCCAGGCTTCTGGTACGAGTACAGCTTGGGTCTTTCATCTGACCAGTACGGCTTTGACATGAAGAACAAGTCTCTGATTCTCTTTGACGATGGCAATATCAAGATCAACACCTCAACATGGTCCCAGTGCGGCCGCGGCCTTGCAGCCTTTCTCAGTCTCAAGTTATTGCCTGAGAACGAAGACGACAAGTCTCCCTGTATCCAACAGCGTGCTAACGAGGTGTTCTATATCTCCAGCTTTTTGGTGTCCCAGCGAGATATGTTCGAGAGCGTCAAGCGTGTCACGGGAACATCGGATAGTGACTGGACTATCACACATGAGAACACGCAGGAGCGGTGGAAGGCTGGACATGAGGCGCTGAAGAGTGGGGATAGGACTGGCTTTTCAAGGTTGATGTACACCCGCATCTTCTTTCCCTCGAATGATGGCGATGTCGAGCACAAGTATGGCTTGGCCAACGAAGTGCTTGGGTTGCCTGACGAGGATCTTGACAAGGCTACTAAAGAGGGTGTCAGACTGGGTCTCTCCAAGAAGTATGCAAACTATGGAAAGCCCAAATGAAACGTTGAATTGGCGTCGTTCAAATTCATACTTCTTTTATTGTTACAATTCAGTTCATTAAACACTTACAACCCGTTGGAATTCTCTACGTCAAGGCAACACATACAATACATTCAACCCGTGGGTTTCTAGACGTGCAGGCTTTCGGGAAAAAAGCTTCGGCCTCGAGCAAACAAACATTTGATTTTCTGTTGCCACGGGTCCTACTTTTAGGCTCGCGGGTCGGTCTAGACGTGCAGCTTTGTTATTGACCTGAAATTGCACAGAGAACGGGCCTTCTTGACCGCAACCCGCGGACGTCACTATTGTCGGATCCCACTGCGGCATCCCACCGGCGTTCGGACAACGCTGAATAATGCTTACCAGCAGGTGATATTTAACTCGCGGCAAACGTCGATGTTCCCTAATCTCCTATCAACCACACCTACTTTACCCCCCTTACTTTCTCAAAACCTGCCAATTAAATACTGCCCATCTTTTCCGCACTTTCCGACGCCATGGAGAAGGAAAAGACGCACGAGGTTGTCCGAGTCATCGAGGCTCCTGTCTCGGAAGTGTGGGCAATCATCTCCGCGTTCGGATCGGAGAGACTCTGGTTCCCCGGCGTAGTCAAGTCAAGCCTGGACGGGTTCGGTATCGGAGCCGTCCGTACTCTTACATTCGATAACGGCACCGTCGTCCATGAGCGTCTGGAGGTGGCGGACCCCGAAACACATACCATTCGCTATCTCATCCTAGACGGCGTCCCGAACACAACGAACCCCAGAGGAACGCTACGACTTACTGGAATTGAAGGGGACAAGACGGAATTCAGTTGGACCGGGGCTTCAGACTGGACGGACCCGAGCTTTAAGCCTGTCTTGGCGGGCATTTTGGACGAGATGTTCAAGGGATGCATGGATGCTGTTGCGCAGAAGTTGAAGTAATTCAGAAGTAAGGAGGTTAAGAATTTTGCAGTGAATGAGGATTTACATGAATAATCTATGTACAAGTGCCGAAGCAAAAGGAATTACTTCTGATTCAAAAAGAAAAAGACGCCCTTTACCATCTGAAGGCAACACAATCATGATGATCGACAAGGTATTGAATGGAGCCATGTACCATTGGACAGACTCACAGCGTGGCCAACCGCGCAATTGACAGGTCACGTCGCATTACATTAGCGGTTTCGGGGGTCAGGCTTTTTTCTATCAAACCGTTTAGTCTTGGCGATCGTGGTCGTGCTTCTTGCCCTTCTTGCACGGACGCTCAGGAACTTGATCGGCGTCTTCAGCTTCTAATCCATGTTTAGCGACTGAGATGTCTCACTTGGCATTGCTTGGTCCTTTAGAGCAACAGACGACGAATCGAGCATCATGCCTTCAAGCCTTTGGTTGGCTGGATTCCGTCGTTTCAAAGTTTGCACAAAAACAACAAAAGTTCAATTACAAAAGATATCTAGTAAATCTAGTTCGTACCTTGATCGCCAACAATCTTTTGCAGGCTAACCATGGCGTTCTCCAACAGGTTCATCTGGCCAGGGGTGTTCTGAGTGTAGCGCGAGTTGAACTTCATGATGCCCTTGGCCTTCTTGTAGGTAGTGATATCAATGTTGAGGGGGGTTCCAACAACATTCCAGGCGATAGACTCAGTGCAAGGAGGGGTGGTGAGGGATCCGGAGTACCTTTACGAGGTTAGCATGTGATTCGATGTCAGAAGTTTGGTGTGTGAGGCCTGGACGTACTGGTAGATGGTGCTCTTGGCAAGATGGCTGGACAGAGAAGTGAAGTCCAAAGGATCGGTAGCAGCGTGAGCTCCAACGGCGGTTACCTTGTCGACGTTCTTGAAGATGGAAGCAAGGATGGGGTCGGTGGTCTCGGCGACCTCGATCAGGAAGCCAACAACGGCAAGAGATGAAGTGCCTAATTCTGATCAGCAACCGAAACAAGCCACTTTCCCATGTTTTCCAAACTTACCGTTACCGGCCTCAGATTCCCAGACAAAGTGGACCTCGAGAGGGTAGTGCTCGCCGTTGAGGCGGTGCTCGCTCGGGGTGTGGAAGTGGAACTGGCGGAGAGTGTAGTTCTTGCCGCCGTTGTACATGGTTCCGTTCGCGCGGACCTCGAGGACGCCGTTCAGGTTCTCCAGCTCAGCTCCCTCAGCGTAGTTTGCGGGCCTAAAGATGATGGAGGAACCCTGAACCTGTTTGGTATTCGTCTCGAGAACGTTGATGGGGGACTGGTTCTTGCCGAGGGCGCAGGCAGCGTTGTCGGCGGTGAGGGAGTGCCAGTTGAGAGGACCGTTCATGGCATCGAAACCGTAGGTGCCCTCGGCTCTCTTGAAGAGACTGGTGCCATGATGGCAGAAGGCCGAGACGGCGGGGATGAGAGAGAGAATAGCGGTGGCCTTCATTGCGACGAAAACAGAGAAAGATCGTGAGGTGCAAGTGGGAAAAAGAGTGACTGGGCTCGATGAGTTGAGTTGTGGGTGGCTCAATGAAACAACAGATCGAAGGAGCGGAAAGATCTAGAGGTAAATATACACCGGTACTGCAGAGTAGCAGTCGATCGTGGGGTCCGGAAAGCTATGACTTGACGACGCGATATTAATTTCGTGGAGTCATGATGAGGACTATCTTGGTAAAAGGCAACGTCTTGGCAGGTTTGCCTGGTCAAAACACCAAAACACCAAGCCCCCTTTGGACCTTCCTGCAAGCACTCTGCCGGTCCGCGGCTCGAGCACGAGAGTGATGACCTCTCCGCGGCCACGTGCTTGGCAATGATCAATCGCGGACGGGACCAGGGGCGCGGAGGGCAGGGGGGAGAGTCAGTACTTGGGAAACACATCACGAGAACGAAGCGCGGTGCTGGCAACAGAAGAAGCAATCACCCCTGAAAGGAAGCGCCTGTGGAAGGGCCGCCGAAGGGCTTCCCAAATCAGGTTGTCATCAAAAAGTCAAATTGGCGAGCGCTTGGCGGGAGTGCGTCGCTATGCCAGTGGAGGCAGGTTTTTACATTGACAGCGTTCCCGTGGTGTGAAGAGGGGACCGCTTCCACTTTCCGGGAGGCTGTCTGTCTGTCTATCAGCAAAAGGCCAAGACTCTCTGATCGGCCGATATCCATGGAGGAACATGAGCAGCAATTCATTCGTCCAGTGACGGCCATTGACCCAGCTTGTCGGCGCCGACACCGCGGGTCAGCACGCGGCTGACTCGTGGCTCTGGGAGGCACATTCATCAATCTCTGTCAACGCTGTCAAGAATAGCCGCTTGTCTGGGATGAAGCCGGGCGATTGTTCCTGGCTAAAACCGTCCGTCCGAACTCAGCACGGCGGATATGCGAACAGAGCACGCCCTAGGTGCGTAGGGCGATGCCTAAAGGCTGTGGGAAAGGCAAGTTCCAAGACCAAGGGGTTATGAGTGTTGAGACGGCCAGGGATGAACTGTATTACTGGAGAAGAGGGCAGACGAAATTTGCACGGTCATTGCCTACGCTGTACCATACGGATAGCTACGCGACGACGGTGAGGCCAAGAACAAGGGGCAGGGCTCCGGGGTCTCCAGACGGGGAGACGCGGTTGTCTAACCACGTCTGGTATTGGTCGAGAGAGATGAATTGTGTGAGAGACAGGCGGACAGAGGAGAGGAGAGGGAGAGAGGGCGGGGGAAAGGCCCCGCGTAAGGTGAGGCCTCGTCTCGACCGACTCTCGAGACGGGCAGTACGAATAAAGCAGCAGATAAACTGAAGCCTCCGTGGTTGATGCTGGTCGAGATAAAGTTTAGGGCCCAGAATGGCTATGCCGCCAGCGCGCGGTGAGGCGTCTGATTGGAGCGTACGGGGTCTACCGGTGGCCCTAAGGAGGATCGAAGAGGGCCTACAGAGGGTCAAGAGATGAGCAGGTTCAGAGGCCAAGCCCTTGGTACCTAAGGTAAGCATCCAGGGCCCAGGGGTCGCTCGTCAGTGCACTATTTTGGCACACAGCCACGTCGGCCTGCGACTCTACCTTAGGGTACGGATCCATACGCTAAGCTCCCTAAGAGCAAGACACACTCAAGGCCTAACCACTGCACTGGACCGCTGTAACCCGGAAGAGTCTAGACGATGCCGATGCTTGAGGTGTCGTTACCTACCTAGGTCATGTAGGTAAGGTAAGGTAAGGTGGGTATGTAGGGACCTGACCTTACGAGGTAGGTAGGCAAGGCAAGGGACACTCGGGCTACTCCGTGACCATCTTACAGTGGCCAAGTGAGCGCTAATTAGCCCGGCCCAGGGCAGACAGTCAGTCACCGTTCGTTCGCAGGTATTACCTTGGGTGAAGGTAAACATGAGGCATGAGGCATGAGGCATGAGCAGTCAGTCCAGTCCGGTTCCTCACTCACATGCTGAGGTGCTCATCTCATGTTCCATTTGCCAAGACTGCTGACCGGAGGGGGCCAGCTCGTCAAAGAGAACATGGGTAGTGTATCCGTACAATCCAACCCAATCCAATCCAATCCAGTGCCACACGTCGCTGTCTTGGCAAGAGTTCAACGTCGTCTTCTTGGCAAACATGGCTTGGCAGATATAGGTGCGGCGTTTCCTCCAAATTTCCAAGAAACGTCCAAGACTCTGGCCCAGCTTCCAAGACTCTCGTCCAAGGCTTCCAGGGCTGTTCATCGTGGGGGAAGTGCGACCGACCTGCTGGTTCCAGTCTGGCGCCGCCGTTGTTCCGCCTAGTGGCTTGGACCTTCTGCGGCCGTAGACTCTAACAGTTCTTACTACTACAACTGCTATGCAGTCGGTAGGCTTGCTAAGTCCAGACCTCCCGACACCATGGAACCGGCACATCACTCGCCCGTCATCTGTCGCGTCCCATCTGCTCCGCTGCCGACGGTCGGACTCTAGATTTGAGCCGTCACACTGGTCTGTATCACCTACATCGTCATTGGATGCAGCTGCATAGTGGCAGACTGCAGAGTAATAGGTAAGTGAGGTGGTTAGTCAGTCATTCCCGCCGTAGGGGCCTGCCGCCGCGTTAACGTTTTCTCTTGGCGCCCCTAAATTCAGCACTCGCGCTCCCTTTTCCGCCCACTTGATTGGGTGGCGTCTCCTTGATGCCGTGGAACCCTTGAGAACAATTCCATTTCCCGATTCATCTTTCTCCCCTTCTTACTCGGCGGACTTTCGCTTTGGCCGTTGCCTTCCCTTCCCTTCCACCCACCCAGCCCTCGCGGTGACAGTGACGGTGACAGTGACAGTGACAATTCCAGTCCTCAATCCATGTCGCTGTCTCTGTCCGGCCTCGCCCAGGCGTTGCCGACAGCTTCTTCCTGCACCTCATCTGCGAAGCCGCGCGCCCGACCTGCCAACACGGCGTCTCCCGCGGACTCCATCTGGAAACATTTACCAGAGGCCGATTTCCGCCAACATGTCGTTGAACTCGAGAAGCTGACCAACTCGGTCCCTGTGGATGCGCAAACTTTTCCCCTGCCTCCGCAATCTGATCTAGCGGCAGACCACGCGAACTCAGACGGAGATGCAGCTGCCGATGCAGATGCGGATGCAGGCGCCGCAGGGGCGGACGTCGTCGGCCGAAACCCCGACAGCGTCTCCCAACAACCTCATCCCCGCCAGCTGTCACTCGCTGCGGAACAGCGTCTAGCTGATGACATCGCCTACCTCATCGCCGTCGGCGAAGGGGCGCAGTCTGTCGCTGCAACCACCGTGCAGGAAAGCCGACGTCCTCAAGGGAAGGGACTCCGGGTCACCATCGCCTCGGTTGACGCGATCGAGCCCGATTCACAGGCATTTCTCCGCGCTATTTTCCAGAGGCTGTCTACCGTATCTGCCGAGCCGTCTGCCAAGACATTACAGAGTCTCGTGGACCAAGTAACTCGGCATCATCAAACTCGCCTGCTCAACCGTCTGCGCTCATGCAAGTGGAAGAAGCCAACCTACCTTTCCCGCACCCACAAGAAGGCCCTGCATGCCGACTTCGCCAATCTGCTCCATCGCGCCCAGTTCCTCTATGCCAAAAAGGAGGCCAACAAGCGGGCGCAGCTGGAGAAAGAACTCTTGGCTCTTGCGGCACTCCTTGAAGCCTTTGAGACGACACCACCAGCCAACGACCACGAGGCGCTTGTCGACGTTGTGCGGTCTAGCTACCGAGTTTGCACCTCATCCCTGGTCGCAGATTATCTCCAACGCCTGCAGGGGGTCAGAGCGACAACTCAAATCCAAGCCTGCCTCAAAACTTTGCGCCAGATTGAAAAGATCGCAGCCTACTACCGCATCTGTCTAAGCTTGACAGGGTTGTCTCAATCTCACGCCAAGCTTTTCCACGGCGTGGACCTTCTCTTCCTGCTGCCATACGAGGCTGTGCCCATCACCACCGTCGCCTTCCAGCCGTGGGCCAAGTCGACTCACGTCCACGCAGAGGTCATCCTCAGCGTCCATCACGACCTCGAGCTCCATCGGCCGCAGCCTGGTGGTCCTCCTTGGCACCGCCCGAGATGCCTCGGCGCTTCCAAGTGCTTTTGCTACCTTTGCTTCCTGTTCATCCGACATCACGGCGCCTACTTCGCGGCCAACACGCACGGGGCATGCTATGATCAGTGGACGGTGCCGGACCTCGCCGACTATCCTGAGACGATGGCCGACCACTACAGGGAGGTATTGCGAGCGATGGATACGGAGATTCAAAACCAAACGCAGGGCGCGGCCTGGAGGCCAGAGCCCATGACAAGTAGAGAAAACTTGATAGGCATTATTGAACAGTGAACTGAAGAGAGTCACCCGCATGAAATGGGCACATACCACATGAACGATGGTCAACCTGAATCCTAATGTGGCTCAGTCTCAGGTCTTGTCCCGTTCTTCAGCTTGCGTGGCTGAATGCCTTCTCCTGTCAGGGAGCGCCAAGTCATGACAGCTGTAGGGCGTAGATCCTCCTATCCTGCGCCCGTTTGGCAGGTCGCCATGATTCAGGTGTCATCGGGGACTTTGCGGACGTTACATGCCCGGTCCCGGCAACAGAAGCATCCACAGGTTTGCCCGAAGAAAGTCCCATGTAAACAAATTGACTGTTGCGAGTCCTCGTTATCATCATTCTTCTTCGCCAAGTGCAGCGTCTTCAGTAACTTCACGCTTGGCCCATATTCAGACTTCAGCTCTAATATCTTGGAAGCCATCTCTGCGGCCGAGCATTCTTGCGCATCGCCGATGGTGTTCCTGCTGACTCTCGTCGCCCCACAACCTCGCCTCCATCTTTAGTACTGATAAGACAGACCGGTCCGGCTCAGTCTACGCTTGTTCAAGATGTAATACTGCACGTTGGCCCAGATGCCGCAAACAACTGCGGCAGTCACCAGGCCCGTGATGACAGTCCACCCCTGGCGGTACTTGGGTCCATCGCCCTCCCGGAACAACTGCTTACCCACAATGCCAGAGCAGTTCGCAGCCATGATTAGAATGGCCATTGTGATTGAGCGTTCGCCAGCAGACTTGGCGTTCATCGAAACCCAGGCGCCATTGACGGGATCTAATCAAGCTGTGTCAGACGCATGATCACCAAGCTTATTTCGGAGATGTGTAGACTTACGCCAAGGGAACGAAAATGCCACCGAAAGAGTCAACATGGTAAATCTCTTTGTACGATCAGAATCAATCAGCAACAGGTTGCCAAGCTACGCATTGTCAGTTCCATTTTGCCAAGCCAAGAACACATGACGCGTTCGACTCACGTTGAAGCCCCAGAAGATCAGCAGTCCCAGGAACACCCATGGCCCGCGCACTCTTGTTTTATCGCTGTGAGGGCAAGTCAGTTTCGTTTGTCATTTATCAACGGAGCTTGGCGCAATGTCATGATGGAACGTACGCAATCCAGCCCCAGAACAGGTTGACTGGGATCAAAATCCAGGCGCCGATGGAAACCATGGCATTGGCTTGCAGTCTGTCGTATCCCATCGAAGCAACTAACGAAGGTGCGTACGAGCTCAGAGTCGATGACGGTGACAAAGCGGCAATGGTGAATATGACGTGGGGTATCAGTTTCCAGTTTGTCAACTAACACTGGTCAGTACTGGGCGGAATAGACAGTCAAAGTCGATTGAACATACTGCTTCTCTCAACTCCGGCCAACTAACGGACTTCTTCGGGTGCGCCTTGGAAGGATCGTCAAGCATAACTCTCTTGTAGAGGATCTCCGCCTCCCGCTCGCTGAAGTATCGCAGTCCAGCCAGGGACACCGGGTTGCTGACTTGGTTTGGGAAGAAAACGAGAAAGCAGATACCGACGAGCACAGTGAAGATGCCCTCAAGCTGTTCACGATTAGTGTCTACTCTTGCGCATCGCACTCGATGTTCCTCACCAAGAAAAGCCATTGCCATCCAGCCAGATTAGCGACGCCTCTCATGTGCAAACTGCGGTTAATTATCAGTATGTCACACGATACATCGTCAGTGTGGATTTCGACGCGGATGCTAACTTACATGCCATAGGCGATAAGGCCAGAGCATGCGGCAGCAAGCATATTGCCGAGGAAGAACCAAGAGAACCTCCTGCTAGTCTCCTCCTTCTTGTACCACCGGGTCATGGTGTACAGAGCAGCAGGAATAAATCCCGCTTCGCAGAGACTTTTGCAACGAGTCAGCTGAAGTTCATCAAACCAGAAAGAAGACCAAAGCATACCCAAGAAGCAGCCGAGTTACCATGAATGGACCGAGACCCTTCTGGAATGCTTGGAATGTTGCGACCAAGCCCCTATTGGTCAAGTTAGCGTTGTCGAACGTGGTGCCAAGACTGTAAGTGCCAACCATGCAATGATCTGCCCACCAATCCAAAGAGTCGGTCCTACTCGGTATAACACAAGGTTGCTGGGGATCTGGATACGATAGTCAACCTCTTATGACCGATTCGGCGTGTATATGTAGTTCTCAAACTCACCTCAAGGATAACAATGCCCGCTGACAGCAACTGTTGTCCAACATTGAATTGGTTTTGGGAGATTCCGACATCCTTCAGGAAATAGTCGGTCAGAGCATTACCCCTACGTCCTCGTCAATTCAAATTTCCACGTTTGCGACGGTCGAATTTCGTACATGTTTCCGCGGTCGAGTTGCAGGGCGAAGAAAGCAAGAATCAGCAGAGGCATAATCAAGATGTCGACCCTGCAGAGCGAGCGGGTTAGTAAAAGCTGCTTAGAACTGGATGCGCAAACTTACTTTCGGAGCAGGCGCTGCTCCTCCTCCTGCGACCAGTCAACCTCGCTGTGGCCCCCATCGCTCTGGCTCTCCGGGCTTTCAGCCACGGTCTTGATTTGCTTCTCGTCCACGATAGCCATTGCGAAGCGATTCAAAGATCCTGGAGCTTCGATGTTGGAATCGGCTGGCTAGCAAACAATGCTTGGGGTAACCTCACAGGGACTCTGGCAGTTTCTTCTGCTGACACAATTGACATGGAAATCTTTTTAAAGAGTCTGCTACGGAAAAGACTTGCATGTCGCCCCTCTGACGATCCGGTTTCTCGGGCCAGACCTCGCGTCACTGTTCCGCGTTCCACCTTCAAGTCCCACCTACGTGCAGCTTTCAACCCCAATTCCTGTGCTAATGACATGGAATGAAGCCATGAAAGCAGCATCTCCATGGAGAACTGACTAGGAGACCACGCGTTGGGTCGCCAACTTGCCGACTTTGCGTGGGTGCGTCTCCGGAAACTTGCCTGAACTGGACCGGCCGGCGCGGCCCACTGCCGTTGATGCCATCCGATGAAGCGCGCACGCCATCGACCACCACCACCTTACACGCACAAAACACACCAACAACATGCAGTTCGCTTACCTAACCCTCTGATGCAATCGGTTGTCGGGATTGCGACTGTCTTTAAAGCCAATGGAAATGCTTGATTATTGGGAGATGCCGAATTTTCAAATCTCCTACCTGTCAGTCTGGGCATCTGTCGGGCAGAGTCCGAAAGCTCATTGTACAAGAAGAACGACCCGTCCGACGTTGTTCCGCTCTGCCGCTGATCCATTTACCTTAAGGTCATTCTTAAGCGGCCCTGCAGTGCCATCCGCTGAATTTGCGCTGAGCTGTGACTGAGATGACTGAGTTCATGACTGAAGGAATCCTTCAGAGTCTGGACCCGGGATGTCCCGCATAGAGCATGATGTCTTTCGAGCAATGCCTTTGCTTTGTAGCAGTCTTGGTCAGTATCAAAAAATTACTCACATCGTCAATCTGGCTCTCGCCGACGTGGAATGACATAGCCCTTAAGTATGTTTGCGTTCAACCTCGGGCCTCCCCGCCCACGAATAGGAGATTGATCCGCTCATCTGTGATATGCAGTATCAATTGCGCAATAATCATGGTTATGGTGCTCACGGGAATACATGATGACGATTTCATGATGATGTGATCAAATTGCCAATAATAAGAAGGCGCAGAACAGTCTGCTTATCGAAGAGCAGCAGCAGATTCTCTGTCGAGCGACGAAAAGGTCAACAGAACTCCCCAAACCATGGCAAATCTAGAATCCAGAAAGCACGTCTCGCCCGATTCCGGGTTTCCCATCTCTCTTCATCCTCATTTTCATCCCAAGATCAAAGACCACGTGCCCCCTGAGCCTGTCAGAGAGCAGATAGTTCCCGACAAGGACAGGGCTTCTTTCGCGGACCCAGACAAGAAGGCCCTCTTCTCTGCAGCCAAACGAGTGGATCTGACTGAGTCTATCGGTACTGTCCTGGAAAATGTTCAGCTGTCGCAACTTACGCCTCAGCAACTAGATGAGTTGGCATTCTTGGTGACGGAACGAGGCGTCGTCTTCTTCCGAGACCAAGACCTTACTACCGAAGGCCAGGTGAAGTTATTCGAGCATTACGGAACTCTCGACCGTCACCCGGCTCAGAAGGACGTCAAACATGTCATCATAAAAGGAAGTCGCGAGGATCATCGAGAAATACTCAAATACACACCATGGCCCTCTGGAGACTTTCACGCCGATACCTCGTTCGAGGTGAACCCTCCGTCGTATTCCTTGCTTCGCATGGAAGAGCACCCTGAAGTTGGGGGCGACACTGCCTGGGTGTCTCAGTACGGTTTGTATGATGCGCTCAGCGATGCCATGAAGAAGTTTGTCGACGGGCTGCACGCAGTACACACCTCGAGGCTGCAATATGACACGATTCTTGATCTTTGGGGCGTTGGTCCAAACCGTCCTCCCATTGATTCGCATCACCCCGCTGTCAGGACCCATCCTGTTTCTGGTCTCAAGGCGCTGAATGTCAATCCTGGTTTTGTGACAGCCTTCGCAGAGTTGAAGAAATATGAGTCCGACAAGCTCCTCGATTTCTTTGCCTATCATATTCACTCAGCTGATGACCATGCTGTGCGATGGAAGTGGGAAGTAGGCTCTATAGCCATGTGGGACAACAGGTCAGTCTAAGTCTTGTTTTCGAAAGGTGAGTGCTGACTTGACCAGATGCACAATCCATCGAGTGATCCCGGGGACATATGATGCGCCTCGAAGAGGCATCAGAACCACCGTGTTCGGGGAGAAGCGTGAGGATTCAGTCCGAATCGTCTATCCAACGTATACTGATTATTTTGTTAGCATACTTTGATCCAGCAAGTGAAAGTCGAGCCGAAAGGGAGGGAAGACGCAAGAATGAGCAGTAACATAAGCACGGGTTAGGCGAGAAAAAGGAGCTTGTGGTAGAGGCCGCACCGGCTTAAGCGTCAACTCCCTTGAATTACTGGTGACTACTACAGCAAACTCCGAAGCGGTCATATTGTGTTCGAAAACGGCATCGCTTTAAAGCGCCTGTGCTCGGTTTTGTTGAAGAATCCCAGAAATAGCGGTCCATTGTCTATCCTACATGTCTCCAAATCTGCCGGTAGCCACTGCAGTTCATAATTATTCAGTTCCGTAGACTCTTTGGATGGGTATCAATCCATATAGCTTCGTTCATAAGTATCCGTCCCTGGGTATAGCAACCCATCGATGCGCCCTGTTGATTCACCCTTTTCCTGGTTCCCATTTTACTTTCTAACCCCGAGGTGTTGTCATCTCCACTTTGCCGTCCATTGGTAGGTATTGTTGCTTTGTCTTGAATTATTCCCTGGTGATCTTCCAGTTTGTTTTCACGTGGATCGCGTCGCTCGGTTGTCCCCTCGTCAGGTTTCTCTCGGATCCGCCGTCGTCGTTGCTGACTGTCTCGTGGCCATCTTTGTCGTTCTGCAAAGCGGCCGTCAGCATGATAATCTCATAGGTATACAGCAAGTAGCAAAGTTGTTTCGTGTGTCAAAGCCCTTGGACCATAGCCAGAACGACAAGAGAGTGCTTACCAACTCGATCCAGGCAGTGTACTGGCCTGGTTTTGGCTGAACCTTGAGTTGATTGCTTGACCCATGCTTGTAGCCGCTTTGTTCGTTGGAGTTCTCCATGGAAGAAGACTTATATCTCGCCCTCCATCGTACGTAGAAAGGTCGAAGCATAGGAATGTTGATGCAAAGACCCGCGAGCATCAGCTCAATGGTGCAGAGCATGAAGGTGGTGATTGAGGTACCCGTGAGGTTTCCTATCAGATCGATGGTGAATATCAGCACGAAGCGAACGATGCCAATGACACAGCATCTGTTTTGGATGTCAGTATCAGCATAGATTGGATAGCAGGAAGATAGGCCACCTACGCCAGGCCGAGGGCGAAACAGGAGATGACTGCAAACTTCTCGGTCTTCCTCATTTGGAGTTGCCAGACGGTCCAGATGGGCAGTATGACAATAAACAAGTCAGTTATGACGTTGGTCATGATGATGCACTTTAGGACCAGGATTTGGTCCATGCAATGACCAATGCGCATGACGGTCCATTGTTGCGAAATGGGATCGCAAAGGAAGATGAAGAGGAACGTAAACGTCAGAGCCCAAACAACAACGATTCCTGCGACAACGTAGATCCACCTGCTCAATTGCAAGGAAAACGCGCGGTGGTAGAACCAGAGTTGGCTGAGCTTTAAGCATGCTAAAGCCCAGAGATAGACGAGCGTGAATGCAAAAGTCACCTTGAGGATGTACTGCAGGTTGTTGACAACTGTTCAGAACATGATTTTAGTCTCAGAGGCATATCACAACCATGGGAAAGGGTTGTCCGCTTACGGTTTGGATAAACGTCGGACTCTGGATCAAAATCATAGCCAACCCCTGATGTGAAGACGGCAACATTCAGGCCGATGGTGCTGCAGGACAACAGCTACGTAGAGTCAGCAAACTCGTATTGATGTTCGTGGCATCGTGGTGACAAACGCAAGCAATGACGGCGAGAATGTCGTCTCCTCCGATCCCGATTCCCCTGAATCGACCCCATAAGCGCGCAAACACGACGGATACGAAGACGACACATAGACAGCCAATGGCTATCAAAGAGTTTCGTGCGCTTGTTGTCATCGGAATGTACTGCACTGGCGGCGTCGCCACTTCCGCGGGTGAAGCCATGATGACGGGACCGGCTGGCTTGATCTCGTTTCGACTTCGACGGATAGATAGGCGATGAGCGCAAGAGGACCAAGATATCAAGAAGTGGCCCGTTGATGGGGGAAGCACGACATAACTAGGAGATATACCGGGTCGATCAGCCCCAGCTGTTAGAGTTGTAATGTCACGGCCGTCGCACTTGAAGGTTCTTCAGTTTCTCTCACATTTCTACCCACCCTTCAGAAGGCAATCGACGGGAAGATCTTTCTCGGTACGGCCCAGCTGACATAGAACCGGGGATCTGTTTCGCGGCGCCGAGATTTCCAGCGGCCCTGGTTCGCGGTAGGTCAAATGGCCTCGCCTCGCACTTTTACGGGTCCTTCATGTCAGGAACTGCGACACCGTGACTCGTGGGATTCCAATGACGGGCTAGTAACCCAAAATGTGGTATGAAGCGACTTGGGGGGTCTGCCAGGGGGTTCGTTCACAGAAGGATTCTTGTTGGCAACAAGTTGACTGACAGCTTGTGGGTCATAGATTTTCTTCGCAGACTTGCTTCACTTCGATTGGAAGAGATCCGTCATCCCATCGGCAGTTCCATACACTACAAGCAGCAATAGACTGTTTGGTTCAATTCCTGCAGGCAGTTACTCTGGGAGGTCTTGATCGATGTCTCGTATGGCCTGAGGCGGATGCCTAGATGCCTAGACGTTGCAAGATGATCATCCACAATATTTACCCGGCATGGCGGACATGGATTCTTTGCACAAGTGAACACTGAGCTGCAGACCCCTCTGGTAGAAAAACAAATACGTACAGCCTCACATGCTTCGCCGGGTGCGAGAAAAATGTCGCGGTGTCTTGGCATTTGTTGGTGACAGTGGGCCTTTGAGTTTTCTTCGAATCCTACCGGCAACAGTCCCCGGTAGGCCCAGTTCCCCGGCCACCGTTGGAAATTGACGAGGATGGGGTCCCAGGACACGCCGCGTTGGTCCAACCAGACCAACCCCGACTTTGGGAAGACACAGTGGAGGACGTCAATCAAGCGCTTCCCAATTGGTCAATGATGGGAGGCCTTTTGATGGCGCGGCCGATCATCTCCGGAACCAGCAGATTGGGCCCTGAACTCTCTGAACTTTGGGCTGACCGAGGTGACAGTAACGGTTGTCCTATCTGTCGGGACTTATCGTCGGGACCTAATAGTAGCCAGCTATCCGTAGAAGTGAAACGTTGTTAGCGCATCCTCCTGTCGGGTTTTCAGGGACCTGGGAATTCACATGGAGCCCAGAGTGGCAACCGGCGAGATACTTACTTCGTTGGGAAGACGACGTCTTGGGCCTGTATATTGGCTATTTGTGACGAAAAGCATGCTCATGGATGCATATCCCACGCAATGCCAGGATACTTCACCTGCGCTATTTGATATCATGTCAATCGCAATGAGTCTCTCGGTAATCTTTCTGTCCAAAATTCCAGAAAGAAGGACGTGTGAGAAACTGATCGAGACGACGTTCCAGCCGTCTCCAGATCGCGGGCCGTTGCGTGACTCGGCCGGGACGGGGCTGATGGTCCGTCTCTCGCTCTTTTTTTGACGCCGTTGACAAGGGCCGCAAATAGTTCTGTGCCCTCGGCGGCTGGCGAAATGGTGAAGAGAGTGTCATTGAAGGCGGATTCCAGGTGGAGTTGTCTCCGTCCCGAGCCCTGGTCCGTTCCAACCAAAACGCATAAAGCCATTTGAAGATCTGTGAACAATTTGTCCTAGCGCTGGATGCGTTGCATTACGGCAGTGTTGTCTTGTGTTTCTCGTACCTACTGCAGCGGTGTGGGATCATCAAGGAGAGGACTCCTTCGCATCCATCGCGCCGCGTATCGAAAACCTACGACAGAGTTCGCTTCGCAAGACATCGCAAAGCGTCTGCGGCTCTTCTGTCCCTGATGATCTCCAGTATGATTGACACTCATCGTTCGAGTTCGTCTCCCAAGTCCATGCACTACGAGCCATCTCCATGGGGAGGCAGACAAAATCCCAGAAACCTGCATCGGTGTATCGTCTCAACTGGGCATTCTTCAACGGCCAGTCGCTGCACATTGTGGACCGCCCCCACAGTGATTGCGCACTAACAGCACTAGTCGACTCGTCGTCAGGGTTGTGTCCCCTTCTCAGGGGCTATCGTGGTCGTGTCTGTTCATCTCGCCGCGACGGGGCTGTGACAGCAGTCCGTCAACCACTCAGCTCGCCGTTTTTATGAATGACCCGACTGGCTGTGGACCGGATGATAAGTGGAATGCAGTTCTTGAGCTTGATACTTGACAGCCATGCGCAGTATATAGGTCTCATAGAAAACATGCGCATGAAGTCGCATTGCTGCGAGGATCGCCTTCCCCTCTTCCCCCCCAAGCGTGTGTAGATGCCACCCAGCGGTTCGCGTTCAACATGGCTGTGAACTCAATAGCCGACGGTCTCAAGGCCGCTCTGACTCCCATGGCCGTTGTCTACTTCCTTGGCCTCTATGTGGCCTACTACATCCTGGTCGCGCTGTACAACATCTCGCCTTTCCACCCTCTGGCCCGCTTCCCTGGGCCCAAGATCGCAGCCGCGAGCTACTTGTACGAGGCATACTACGACTGGTGGCTGCTTGGAAGATATGGCAAGGTTATTGCACGGATGCACGAGCAATATGGTAAGTCATGGTAGCACTAGTCATGAACACGGTTGAGTTCTGACAGAAAGACTCAAGGCCCCATTGTCAGAATCAACCCCGATGAGCTTCACTGCTCGGACCCTCTCTTCACCGATGAGATCTATGCCGGTCCGGGTCGCATCCGCGACAAGTGGCAGCACCAGCTGAACACCGGCGGCGCCGGCCCCGTGTCCGTCACCGGCTTCTCCACCGTCAACCACGAAGTCCACCGCATGCGCAAGGGCGCCCTGTCCAAGTTCTTCTCCCGCCAGCAGATGCTCAAGCTGGAGGGCGAGGTGCAGGAGTTTGCTCAGCTTGCTATCGACAAGATGCTCAGGTCCGCTGGCAAGGAGCCCTTTGACGTGAAGGAAGCCTTCAACTGCTTCACTGCCGACATCATTTCTCAGTATGCCTTTGGTGAACCCATGGGCTTCATCGCCCAGGAGGGCTGGGAGCCCAACTTCGCCACTTGGGTCAAGTCTTTCTTCAAGAGTGCTTACATGATGAGACACAATGCTCTCGGTAGAAAGATGGCGCAGGTGCTCCCTATGATGGCCGACTACATGGGTGAGGACATCAAGTCCGTCATGAGACAGATGAACGTTGTCATTCCTGGATACATCCAAGCAGCTCTGAACAACCCTGAGAACGGAAGAGTCTTTGCCGATCTAATGGAGTCCAAGACGATGCCCGAGTCTGAGAAGTCCATGTACCGTTTGTCGGGAGAGGGCTTCAACTTCTTGCTGGCCGGTACCGAGACCACTGCCGTATGTCGTGCTCCAACTTTCGAACTAGCATCATGAACTGACCGACACAGGCCACGCTCACTGTCATCACCTACTATCTTCTGGCGCAACCCACGACGTACGCCCGCCTGATGGAGGAGCTTCGGGGTGTTGACCCCTCGAACCTCAAATGGACCGAGCTTGAGCAGAAGCCTTTCCTGTGGGCCGTCATCCATGAGTCCCTGCGCATGATGCCTGGTGTTTCCCACCGATCGGCTAGAATTGCTCGTGAGGAGGACCTGGCCTACAAGACCCGTGACGGCAAGAAGGAGTGGGTCATTCCCAGGGGCACCCCCATCGGCATGACCTCCATGATCAACCACTGGGACAAGGAACTTTTCCCTGACCCTGACGAGTTCAGCCCCGAGCGTTGGTTGGTGGATGGTAAGCCCAACTACAAGCTCCAAAAGTATCTCCTTGCCTTTGGCAAGGGTAGCCGATCGTGCATTGGCGAGCAGTAAGTCATAGCTTTCCTCAAGTTTTGGGGTCTCCGTACTAACATTTACGAAGCTTGGCTTACTGCGAGGTGTACCTCATGGCGGCCCTGATGGCTTTGCGTGTTATTCCCAGGTCGAAGCTGTACAACACCACCGTGGAGGATATCTCTTACGACCATGACTTGATCGTCGTCCAGACGAAGAAGGGTTCCATTTCTGTCAAGATCCAGATTGAGTAGAGATGGTGTCAGCGACGGTGAAAGGGTTCAAGCTACGTAGTAACACATTGTGCGTGTGTGTAATGATAATCAACACTCGTTCTATCCAGACCCAAGGAAAGCGACAAAGGAGACTGCCTGTTAGCGCCATGCCACCGGGCTCAAGTGAGGAAGCTCACAGCCGGTATCCTGATGGCTGTCTACTTCTAATAACCTCTTTGCACACTACCCATTCGACTACCTGCCTCCCGCCATCTCGGCCCCCAAGCCCTGACTGCTAGTAGCATCGGGACAGAGGCCAAGCAGGTGGCCCCATATGCGGTGAAAGTCCAACCTGTCCCGAACTCTTCCACGAGCAGCTGGACGACAGCAACACCGGCCGCGGCCGCAAGGGATCTGACTAGGTTCATTGCTATACTCGCAACTCCGGGATTTCTTGGATGGAGGTCCATGTACAATGTGAGGCAAGTCTGCATCGTTGTCAGCAACAATACGTGCCGTGTGGTGGTTCCAAACTCACGTTGCTAATGCCCGTCGACGCGAGACAACAGATGAATTGCGTGATCATAATAAGGCCCAGGTTTATCTTGTACTCAACCGCCCAGCCGTAAAACACCGTTGAAGCGATTACAAATGGGAACAGATACCATGCAGTTCGGAGTCGGGCACGTTCAATCGGGAAGCTCGCAAAGTTGTGTCCAACAAAATCGCTGATGGAGATGCCATGAGACCTCGCCACGGCGGTGTAGTCATGATCAATGATCTTGCCTGCTCGTTGTCAGAATACAAACATGCAATGGGGGCGAATATACGCACCAACTGCGTATGCAGATATGAATACGGCCAAGCCATACGGCACGTAGCACAGGCCCGCTTGCAATCCATTCAGCTTGTAATTCTCCATGGCCAGGTGAGCGAGCGAGTCCTGGATACACGTGAAGCTGAGATGAACCAAGGCGTTTCCCGCAAGTATGAGCGCATCTAGCCGTCGGAAAATAATCTTCAGTTCCCGAAAAGGATTCAGGAAGGCGTGTGTTGATGGGACAAGCGCTTGGGTGTCCGGCGCGGCCACCGCTTTGTCGTCGGGAACTAGGGCTGACGATACCGGGCAGCTGACTTTTCGTTCCATCTCAATGCTATTGTTTACGGTATTTTGGCAGGTTTCGGGTAGGAAGAAGAAGAGGCAGGTCCAGCAAGCAATTCCGAAGGCGAGAAGAAGCCAGAAAGACTGATGCCATCCTATCTCATCATCCATTATGCCTCCTACGAATGGACCTACAACGGGGCCAAAGTTGACTCTTTTGCAAACGTTAGTGCAATATTTACTTAGGTGATTCCCATAGCTTACCCAGTCAGCATTGCGCTCATGTACCTTCCCCTTAAATGAGCCGGGGCAACGTCGCTGACAACCATAGCTCCGAGAGATAGAAGATCTGCTAAAGTCAGCAAGGCTCGATGACATTTGAGGTGGAAGCTCACTTGATGTTCCGGCACTTTGCATCATTCGAAAAATAAGCAGCTCGGAGTACGACCGTTGCAGTGCTAGTCCGATGCACGACACAGAGAACGTAAAAAATGAGACCAGATACACCGGTCGACGTCCAACATGATCGGCAATGTTGCTAAGCAAAGCCGGGACAAGCCCTTGAACGATGAGATAGGATGTTATCGTAATGTTTATGAACTCGATGGATACGTGTAGCTCTTCTGACAGGGTATCGATAATGGGAATGTAGATGAAGACGCTGAGAGGAGCAACAAACGCCGCCAGGGCTGCAAGCAAGACGACCCAGTGTCGCTGCGTCCTTGAGAATCCCGCACAGCGCGATTCTCTTGGTGCGGCGTGGTCTGATACGCAAATGGTGGATGATGGGCTAATGACCTCGACGCAACCTTCACCAGGGCTCGGTCGTGCTGATGTGTTGGTTTCTTTCATCCTGGGCCGGGCGAGAGAAGATGTCGACACCAAGCAATTCTCTCGACAAGAGTAAGAGGAAGCACATCATTATGGAGGCTTTTATCCATGGCTCATCTCCGGGGATGTCTTGGCTTGAGAAGACGGACGTTTTCCCAGTGTTGAGCATAGATGGCAGATGATTGCGGCTGTCTATGATAGGAAGATAAGTCATTCTTTTTTTTTTTCTCCCTCTGATCATAACATACAGTCGAGCAAGCTCATGTCCCTTTCGGTCGACGTTGCGAAGACTGAGACCGAATCGGCACTCTCTATCCGGGAAATGAAGTCGACATCGAGAGGTCGTCACACGTGCCCGAGATTGTGGCCGGTGGCCGCGAGAACGCCAAGACTGTCGAACAAGGCTTTCCAGAAGTTCGCAAGCTTGACCTCGGCGGTTTCACATGCGACGGCACTTTGGTCAACGGTAAATGAAGTGTCGTTTGTTTTCTATCTCTTGCTCTATCGGTGCCGGCCTATCGGTATACGTCCCGCCGAGACAAGCCGTGAGAAAGTGAGACAAGCAATCTATTCAAGCTCAACCATCCTGGGGTCCGTCCAAGGGGCTGACAGTCGGGTCCCAACAGACTGGCGCGTACTCGTCCGTCTCGAGCGACTTCATATCCTCGTCCGACAGCTCAAAGTCGTAGACCTCGGTGTTGGCCAGGATTCTCGCGGGGGTGACGCTCTTGGGCAGGGGGATGTATCCCTTTTGCAGACTCCATCGCAGCAGGACCTGAGCCTCGGACTTGCCGTGCTTGTCGGCGAGGGCCTTGAGGTTCTTTTCGCCCCATCGCTCTCCCCTGACCAGCGGGCTGTATGCCTCGATGGCGACGTTGCGCTTCTGGAGCCACTGGACAATGTCGTTTCTCGCGCACCACGGGTGAATCTCGTATTGTGCGACGGCGATGACGCCACCCTTGCCGGCCCCACGCTCCGCCTCCAGCTCCTTGATGTGCGTCTCAAGCTCGTCAAGGTGGTGCACGCCGTAGTTGCTGACGCCGATGGACCGGACTTTTCCGGCCTCCTGAGCCTCGACAAGAGCCTTCCAGGCGCCCTTGCGACCTTGGGAACCGCCGTAAGGGCAGTGAAGCAACATCAGGTCAATGTAATCGAGACCGGTCTCGTTGAGGGTCTTCTCAACCTGGGTCTTGGCACCATCATAGTTGATATGGCGGACCTTGGAGGTGAAGAAGATCTCGGACCGAGGGACGTCCTTGGTCTTGTGAATGGCGCTTCCGCAGCCTGCCTCATTCTTGTACGAGGCGGCCGAGTCGATCTGCGAATGTCAGATCTCCCAGGCGAGCTGTGTGGGTCAACGGTGGTCTTACATGGCGGTAGCCAACCTTCAAGGCCTCAATAACGACCTCCTCGGCCTGCTCCGGGGGGCTATACGAGTGTCAATGGTGATACTGCCGGGGCGTGTTTTCACACAAACTCACGTCTTCCAGAGCTACTCGGCTGTCAGCAATTGGTGTGCGGATAATCGCGCAAGGGGAACAACACATACACCATATCCCAGCACGGGGATTTCGTAGCCGTTGGGAAGCTTCTGCTTGGACTGGAGGGTGAGAGCGGCGGCCATTGTGTGGTTACGCGCAGCAAAGCGTTGTGGAAGTGGTCGCAAGTCAAAGTGAGGGGGTTTCAGTGGAAGGCGCAGATATCGGGACGAGTTCGCAGCCCAGCGGTTCGTCCTCCCCAATGAGGCCATTAGTCATGGGGCACTGCGCTCACTGCACTGGGACAGCTGTGTGCTCTTCCACGGGATTGCGCCTTGCCCCGTTGGCCTCATTTGCTGCAGCTTCGGTGTTGCTGTGCCGAGCTCATCTCATCAGTGCCGTTATCGCACCGCTGAGGGCACTCACGAATCGCGTTTCAGTTGTTTGGGGGCCTGTTTACGTCATACGAGGGGGAGGGGCAACAGGCCATTCCAGACACAGACAGCCCGCCTGAACAGGCGGGAGCTTTACCCCGCCATTTGCCCCTCCATCACTGGAGATATTGCAAACACTTGAACATTGCTGCCAATCGCTGGGTAAATATTTTGATATCTCATAAGGTCGTAAGTAAATTCTTTTGTGTCTAAATGAAATAGTAGCCATCTCATATGATGGTCTCTTCGCCGTCGCCATCTCCTGCTGCTGCCGCGTCGTCGTCTTCGTCGTCGTCCAGGTCGTGGATGGGATACGACAGGATGGCGGCGATGCTGCCCAACATGTCGAGTCGCTGACCGCTCTCGTGGTCGCTGCTCAGAATCCTGACTTCACCACCGTCTGCCTTGACCTTGTCCACCATTCCCACGTACTTTTTCCTTGTCGGGATGTCGGAGCTGCGGAACAGGGAGTTGTTCATAATAAGAACGCCGCCGCCGGGTCCGATGGCTCCCTCATTGACGGCCTTGGCAACGGACGAAGCTCCGTACCATGCACGCCCGTCTTCCAATCGTAGCCTCTCAAAGAACTGGTCCATCAACCTCGTCTCCTTTGTGAACTTGAAATCCTTCAACTTGGTGCCCATCTCGGGACTCTTCAGGACCTCGTTGAGACTGTGGACATGGCCCGAGTTTGTGTGAATCACGATGGTCTCCTTGGCAATCGCCGACAGCTTCTTGTCCGACTTGTCTCGCCCCTCGTCCTGAATGTATTTCCTGAAATCGGCGGCGACGAAGCCCGGGCTGGCGAGAAGCAACGGTCTGGGCTGATCGAAGTTGACGGTGCGAAGTAGGGAGGTGAGGATCTTTTCGTAGAAACGCTTCATGCCCTGGGATGTCTCGGATGCGGCACTGCGCTTCTTGGGGATGACACTCTCGATGCGCTGCTTCACGACGGTGCGGAACTGGTTGATGATGCAAATGTTGGCGATGCCCTCCTGCATGACGACGGCGGCCATGGCGCCATCCTTGTCGTCGGAAAGACTCTCGGAGAGGGCCTCCTTGGCGACGGTGTCCCAGCCCTCGGGCTTGCTTATCGTGAATGGACGAGAGATTTCGAGGTCGAGGGTGTGGTGTTGGCCGAGACTGACGTAGGCATTCTCAGACTTGACGGTGCCGCTGACCTGGAGTTGGCCGACGATGGGGTCGAAAAATGTGCTCTTGACGCGGATGACTAGCATGGTGTGGACTCGTTCGGAGATGGTGCTGCCTGTCTTTGTCTCCTGGACGACCTTGCGCACGGCATGGGCCATGACGAGATCGCCTGGGCTAATGAGGTTGTAGGCGTGCCACTGGAGCGACGGCGGTCAGCATTTGGTTTCGTGGGTTGCGACGCGATGCGGTGCGGTGCGGTGCATTGCGACGGGGGGCAAGGGAACAGAAAAGAACAAAAGCATCTGGCGACCTGACTTACCATATCCTCAGAGTCCTCGGGCAGAAGAGTGACGGCATCTTCGCCAATGTCCTGCGACGACTTAGTCGGGACCAGCTTCATGTTTTGGTTGGCCTGTTGGATTTGCTCCTGGGGAAGACGGCGATTTTTCGCAAAGGAGAAGGGTGAGTCGTGGATGAACATTTCAAAATATCTCGACGCAGATTGGCAGATTGCCTTAGCTTGGGCCGGCCTTGCTGCATGTGGAACAGGGGTCGGGGAGCTAAGGATGACGTTTCTCGGGCGCCTTAAGACAGTCCACCCCGCTGTATCTCCGGTGCGGTGTACCTTTCTGTCACTGAAGCACCTCTGTACGCAGTAGGCTTACCTGGGTGCCTGGGGGTCCAAGCGTCTAAGGCTCATTGTTATCTCTATCTAGGTACCTTATCGTTACTGACCTTATCGATAAGGATTGGCCCCGCCACCAACACCATCTTTGGGATGTGAAGAGGGAAGGTGTCTGGCGGAGGCTGTGTCGTTTCCTACTTGGTCTGAAGGATGAACAGCCACCGGCAATGATGCGGGGATGACCTTTTAAAGTACAGAAGAGCACCTAGGCATTGGGCTGAAGAGCATCTAGGCAACAGAGTTGAGGCTTCACCGGGGGTGTGGTAGCGTTTGCTGCGTGGCCATGGATACAGCCACGTGAGGAGCTACTAAGCAAGCCCGCGGGGAGTCCAATTGGGTTTGGAGTCTTACTGGATGATCCTAGCTTACATTCTGTACGTAGGTAAGAGTCTGGAGAAGAAGAGGTTTCGGGGGGCCAGAGCTTGGTGAACAACACAACAGCAGAGCTGTGCCAGCTGAATGCTGAGTGAGAGCAATGGTCATCTGATTGCCGCAGTGGCCAGCACGATTTACAGTTTGACCTTCAGCCATCACCTTAAATCGGCGCCCTGCCCTGTTCACAGACACACCCCGCCGCCCGACGTTGTGGACAAGATTCCAGATTGGCCTCGAGGGTTCAATCGGGCAGATCATTGATCGCAGATCACCGGACGGTCATTGTCGTCGCCGTCGGTGTCGCTGCGTTGCGTTGCGTTGCCCGGCTTGAGCTCAGGGCACAGTCGGGCGGCGAATGGGCGGACGACGTCATCCATGGATGAAATGGTCCTGAATCCCAGCCGTCAAAAGTCCATCCTCTCTCTTTCTGTTCCCCATATTAATTATGCCTCCTCAAACAAGTAACAAGATACGTAATGCTACAATAAGCGATCCAAAGATGAGCCTGATGTGGATGTGGCTCAGCATGGGGTATGACCCATTGGCATGACGGAGACTGCTCTCCATTCCATGCTGACTTGCTCTGCTGATTGATACCTGCGTTCAAAGTAATCTCCCATCAATTGGTTGAGTTGGATTGGGTTGGATTGGGTCGGATTAGATCGAATCAGATGCATGCTGGCAGTGGCTGTTGACACACAATTCCGGTGCCTGGCTGCACCAGCTGGGGCAAAAGGCTAACCCGAGGTGGTGAAGAGGTGGTGGTGGAGGCGGTGGTGGCGGTCGTCCAGTGTCCTTCCACCAACGTACCTAAGGTAAGGTAGTGTGCCCGCGTAGGAAGCCTGGAGGGACCGTTCCAAGTGGTGTCAGTCAAGTGTCAGTGTGCGTGTGTCGTCTTTGGTTTCGCCCTGAGCGTCGCAACGCGGTGCAGTGCAGTGCATTGCAGTGCAGTCAGGTACCTCACTTTCCTCTTTTTTAACATCTGAAGCCGGCTGCTGCTGCATTCGGCGCTGCTTCCCTCAGGTTCTTTATTTTCGCCCTACCTCTAGGCCTATTACCTTACCTACCGCCATCCTCTTTTCTTCTCTCATCCTGCGTTCCTCTTTTCCCTTCCATTTGCTGTCACTCTTGTCTATCGCGACCGACATCGTCGCTGTTACACCCCTACGAAGCGGCATTGGCATTGCCCTGTCGCCCTCCGGCCTCCGTCTTGCTCGGGGATTTGCGTCATATCCCGCGGGTTGGTTTGTCGATTAATCAACAGGCACGCGAAATACGACATTTGCAGCAGCTGCCTCGGCTCGCATTCTACCGCACCGCACCTTTTGTTCCCGAGGACGGGAGAAAAAAAAAAAAAAGGAAACAAAACCGTTTCTGGTTCCCCCACAGTCTGCGGCTTTGCGAGGGGAACCCATCCTGGTCAATTGCAAGGAAGCCGTGCGGATCAAGCCGCGCATCTGCACTGCTTTTCAAGGTTGTGTGTGTCACTGTCCAGTCTTGCAGGTCCAGCCAGCCAGTCCAAGTCCAGTCCCCGGCCGAGTCCTGGTTCAAAGTCATCGCTTATTATTACATCGACATTACGCATCGACCTTGCAGCTGCAGTTGAAGTTGCTGCATGGCATTTCAGTAGCTTGCGAATACCTACTTACCTTAACCTGCTTGGTTGAAAGTGTCGCAGAAAGGTGCGTCGCAGCGGTGCCCTGTCTTTCCCCGACCTCTTCTTCTATTTCACTGCGCATGTCAACCCCGTCACTTCGCCCGGAATACGCGGACTGGTTCAACCCGATCCCGCGTACTCCGTATTAGCCTCCATTTCCAAGCATCCGATTCCCACTATTCCCATTTCCCATGTGTTTTCGGCCCCGGCGTCCAGGTCCAGGTCCAGGTCCATTCCCAACCACCCGCAGCCCGCCCAACCGCCTCACCACCACCAAAAAGATTAATACCACCACACGCAACACGTTCAAACCGCGCGCGCGACTAACACACCGACCGTCAGATACCTTACTTCAATTTGTCCGAGGCGGTCCGCTTCTTCTCGTTTCCATCTTTTTTTCTTTCTTGGTTTCCTGTTGCTTGTCGTATCGGAAACGACGGGAACGAGGAAGAGCGGCCTACCAACGAGAACTCGGTACCTCCCACCCCAATCTCCAATCCGCGGGACCGCACTTCTTTGTTCGTCTTGAACTGTGTCGGTCATCTACAACTCTCCGGGGGAGCGCCAATCATCCCGCCCTCCGGCCGCCGCACCCGTTCCCCCGTCCAATCCCGTTCGTGACCATCGGGTCTCTCGGATCGCTCGTATTACTTTTTCACTCGACCGTCCTGCTCTTCACTACCACCTGTTGTCCACCAGAGACAGGGCCGCTTATTCGAGATCCGCGAAAGCCACCGAGGGCACTTCTCAGCTTACCTTCCCGCGCTTACCTCGCTCACCCGCCCGCGCGCGCCCATTAGCAATTACACACATCTCAGATCACACCGACCCAACTTTCTCCTC